GACTTACAGGGAGAGGGCCTTGAAATGACCAAGCCCCTTTGTTTTTCTGCTTCCACTTTCTTTGGTCTTTGCCTGTCTATAAAACCATCAGAGGGGCTGCCACCTGCCGTGCTGGCATCCCATATGGGCACTGGTTCAAGTCCTGGCTGCTCCACTTCTGATCCAGCTCTCTGCTATGGCCTGGGAAAGCAGTAGAGGATGGCCCAAGTCTTTGGGTCCCTGTGCCTGTTAAGGAGACCTGGAAGAAGCTTCTGGCTCCTGGTTCAGATGGGTACAGCTCCAGCCGTTGTGGCCAAGTGGGGAGTGAACCAGGGATGGAAGACCTCTCTCTCACTCTGCCTCTCCTTCTCTCTGTGTAACTCTGACTTTCAAATAAATAAATAAATCCTAAAAAAAGAAAAAGAAAAAAAAAAAAGAACAGTTATGGAGCTTTAAGGAATGAAGTACTGCCTGTTTCTAGAACTGAAAATAAAATCAGGGGCAGGTGCTGTGGCTAATGCGTTAAGCTGCTGCCTGCATTACCTGTATCCCATGTGGGCGCTGGTTCAAGTCCTGGCTGCTCCACTTCTGACCTGTTCCCTGCTAATGTGCCTGGGGAAAGCGGGTGACAGCCCAAGTACTTGGGCCTCCACCACCCACATGGGTTGACTCAAATGGAATTCCAGGCTCCTGGCTTTAGCCTGGCCCAGCTCAGGCTGAAGCTGGGATCCCAGACTCAATCCAAGTCTCCCACAGGGGTGGGAGGGACCCGGCTACTTGAGCCATCACCTCTGCCCCAGGTGCGCATTAGCAGGAAGGCAGAAGCGCGAGCAGTCAGGATGGGAATCCAGGCACTCCAACAGGAGGTGCAGGTGGCAAGTGGTGTCTTAACTGTTGTGCCAAACACTTGGCCAAAGTTTGTTTTCCTAATAAACTCCCAAGTAATATTGTTGCTAGTCAGGGGTTTACACTGAAGAACAAGGTGAAAACCACTAGGGCTCAGGCAGGATCCAGAGGCTGGACACCAGGAGAGCAGGAAAAGGCTGAAAGCTCAACCAGGACAGAAAACTGACACTTCAGCTCTCTTTATAAACCTTTCTCATTTTTAAGGGTCAATTGAAAGCTTGCCACAGAGATTTTAATGTTTCCCATGAATCTTGCTTTTTAAGCTTCAGCCATCATTTATTCTTTTCAAATTAAAATACATATAATGCAATTCTTTTTTTTTTTTTTTTTTTTTTGACAGGCAGAGTTAGAGAGAGAGAGAGAGAGTGAGAAAGGTCTTCCTTTTTCTGCTGGTTCACTCCCCAGAAGGCCGCTACAGCTGGTGCGCTGCGCTGATCCGAAGCCAGGAGCCAGATGCTTCCTCCTGGTCTCCCATGTGGGTGCAGGGCCCAAGCACTTGGGCCATCCTCCACTGCCTTCCTGGGCCATAGCAGAGAGCTGGACTGGAAGAGGAGCAACCAGGACAGAATCTGGCACCCCAACCAGGACTAGGCAGAGGATTAGCCTAGTGAGCCACGGCGCCGGCCCTGCAATTCTTACTATCATGCAAAAAAGATTATTTTGGAATTACTCCACAATTATTCTAGAATTGCCACAGTGACAAGGAGACGAACGGATTTAATTTGGGACATAAGACCACAGAAAAAGGAAAACTATGACTAAGGTGGTCTCATGCATAATTGGCAGTTAGCTATTTGACCAAAAACCAAAAAGCTAACTTAGATCTTTATGTCATAATATAAATCTTCCTATAAATTCCAGATGTTGGAGTTGGAAGAGGTAACAGCTGAGGGGACACCACACAAAGACCGTTTATACGCTGAAACCTTCACTTCCATCCATGCCAGCTGATCATCATGCCCTGCTCACGCAAACGTTCCCGACTGCTGACCCCAAACCAGGAGCAACAATCACTTTTCTTTGTGGAAAAGCTAATTTCAAAGCTTTCCCTGCTTGTTATACTCCCCCTCTTGTCTGCAGCCAAGTTTTAAAAACCTCTAGACCCCAAGTTTATAAAAATATCTTAGCTCCAGGTCTGAGGGACATTTTTCCAATTGTTTTCTGGCTTTGCTGCTTACAGTGGGCACAAACTCGCCTAACGATCTGGTCCTTTTTCTGGCTGGCCTCTTTAATGGCTCAATAAACCCTGTTAGTCGGAGATCCCTTAAAGAGTTTCAGTTTGGGGCCAGCGCTGCAGTGTAGTGGGTAAAGCAGTGCCGGTGTCCCATATGGGCGCCAGTTTGAATCCTGGCTGCTCCACTTTCGATCCAGCTCTCTGCTATGGCCTGGGAAAGCAGCGGAAGATGGTCCAAGTCCTTGGGCCTCTGCATCCACATGGGAGACCCGGAAGAAGCTCCTGGGTCCTAGATCCAGACTGGCGCAGCTCCAGCTGTTTCGGAAGACCTCTCTCTCTCTCTGCCTCTCCTTCTCTCTCTGCTTAACTTTGACTTTCAAAGAAATAAATAAATCTTTGGAAAAAAAAAAAAAACTTAAAACACTAGCAGAAGTAAAAACACAAAATCCCCCTGAGAGATAAGTGACTATCAGACCCAGGGGTGAAGAACACACAGAACTGGAAAGGGAAAAACTGACAGCTGACACACTGTGATTCTGTATCAAAAAAATATTAAAAGACCAACCAAGAAGATGGCGAGGTTGATTACGACAATAAATGAGCCCGTCGCGCTTAAAGCTCTCCCAAGAGAGCCCAGCAGCCTTGTTCCCAACTTTCAGATCTTAGCCCCTTTGGATTTCCAGGTGGGTACGTCTCTCCTCTCTGGTGGTTTGTTCTCAACAGTCCAGTCTCTCACACCGAAACCAAAACCAAAACCCGAGCTCCTGACCATCTCTCTGCAGCTCCCAACACCTCTCTCTCCCCTTTTGGGTCTTATCACAACAAAACCCCTGTGAGAGTCTCGACTTCCTCACCTCATTTCCCCTTTTCGAAGCACAGTGGTCTCCCCTTACTCGCAGTTTCTGTGTTTATCTGCAGTCAAATGTGGTCCAAACATAGTAAAAGGGAAACTCCAGAGACAAGCACTGTTCTTAGCAGTGTGATGAAGTCTCTCACGGCCCTGCTCGGTCCTGCTGGATGTGCTACCCGCCCCTCAGTCTTCTCAGCGACCTCGGCTGTCAGAGCACTGCTGTGCTGAGGCGCCCTGGTTTTACTCAGTAATTGTCCCAAATGCAAGAGCAGGGAGTGTGCAAATCGGGTAAAGCAGAGAGAAGCTGTAAAATGCTTTCTTCAAGTGAAGTGGTGAAAATTCTCCACTTAATAAGCACAGGGAAAAAAAACAGTGTGGTGTTGCTTCGACCTATGATGAGAGTCAATCCTCCACTCATGAAATCGTGTTGGTAGAAGAAGTTCCTGTTACTTTTACTCTCCCATCTCAAACTGCAAGTTATCACCACAGTGCATCCTAAGTGCTTAGGTAAGAACGGGAAGGCATTACATTTACGGTTGGGTATCACCTGCGGTGGAAGGCATCCGCGATGGGCTGGAAGAGTATTCTCCAGGGAGGAGCGGGGGACAAACACACTCCAATCTGGCACCTTTCCCACCACGCCACCGAAACAGCTCTTACCAAAGATCGACTGCATCTCATCTAGTCTGTCTTCACATCATCCACCTTTCACCACTCCTGCTTACAGCCCATTCACCTCCGTGCAACATTTTCTCCCTTAGCTTCTGCACTCTTTGCCGGGTCACCTATGCCGAAACTCCAGATCTGTACTAACCATAAGGCAGCCCACAAGTCACACTCACTAGAGCAACTGAAATACGGCCGGTCTGTGAGATATGCTGGAAAAGCACAATACACACCGGACTTTAAAGACTGTTTTTTGGGGCTGGAGCTGTGGTGTAGTGGGTAAAGCCACACCTGCAGCGCTGGCATCCCTTGTGGGTGCCAGTTTGAATTCTGACAGCTCCACTTCCGATCCAGCTCTCTGCTATGGCCTGGGGAAGCAGTGGAAGATGGTCCAAGTCCTTGGGCCCCTGCACCCAGGTGGGAGACCTGGAAGAAGCTCCTGGCTTCAGATCGGCTGAGCTCAGGCCAACACGGTCATTTGGGGAGTGAACCAGTGGATGGAAGATCTCTCTCCTTCTGCCTCTCTGTAACTCTGCCTTTCAAATGCATTTGTTTTTTTGTTGTTATTTTGAAAACTCAGTACAAGCTGAAAGAATATTTTCAATATGTTGGGGTTAAATAAAAGGTTCATTTTACCCGTTTAATTTTACTTTTAGAAGTGGCTACTAAAAAATTCAAGATTACATATGTGGCTTGCATTCTGTTCCTATTGGAGGGTGCCGCTCGAATCTGACGGCTGTTGTCCTCGCCCCTTCCCCAGGCTGGCTCACCGTCACGGGATACATAGCAGCATCTGTGCGATGGCCATCTCAGGGGCACACAGAGGTGCGCAGGCCAGAGTTCCTTCATGGGACAGAACTACTGGTGGGTGAGCCAGCAAGTGGACAAGGAGCAAGACTGATTCTGGAGTGCAGATTTTGGAGACTGGGCAATCACCGAGCCCTCTAGATTACACTGCTTTGCCAAATTCAACCTTGCCCGGGATGGTCTCCGGTTTCTCTGGCATGTGTGCAAAGGAGTTCAAGAAACCCTAACGGGCCCTGTCTTTCTCCTTAAAGGTCAGTTTGTAATGAAGGCAACGGAGCTCCTGCGATCTTACAGGCCTTGTAACTCTGGTCACCTTCTGATGGCTGGAAGAGATTACGAGTAACCTTTCTCTCCAGGACTAGGCCGATCAATTCTGATCAAAAATCGCTGGAAATGATGCCAATTACACTAATGCAACGGAGACACTGAATTCTGCCCCCTCCCCCCCACACTCTGGAAGAAATTTAGCGACAAAACGTTTCACTTTTTGAAAGTGTAGAAAATGGAAAGACTTGATTGCATTCCGGCCTTAGAAAAGAAAACCAAAAAGGGACTTGACCTCAGAAAAGGTCAGATGAGTTTGAGTCAATACGTAAATGAGGTATCAAAACTACTAACCATTCTATGAGCACTCCTTTCAAGACGTTGACCATCTTTGTCCAGCCGGAAGGGGCAGAGGATCTCAACCAAGCTAATAAAAAAGGACAAGGTGGACATGTCATTCAACAGCATCGACCTGAACAAGGCAAGCCACTCCCCGTCAGTATAAACAGCGAAGTCTATCAGAGACGAAGCTAACACAAAGGAGACATGCAGCCATTCTGAGCTTCTCACAAAACGGAGTCTGTCCGGAGCTGTCCACCACGCACACATACACCTGCGGCCGAACCCCACAGCCGCGCCGCGCCCCGGTACTCCGGCTCCCCACCCGGGGGCTTGACAAGGCTAAGGTCCCGGAGGGCGGAGGAGAAGGGGGCCGCAAGACCTACAGGGCGCCCAGCCTCTTCATTTCGGACCTGAGACAGGGCGAGGACCCTAAGCCGCCGTTCTTCCCGGACCGGACCGGACCGGGAGGTCGGGGGTGGGGGGGACACAGCCACACTGCGGGCTCCCTCCCCGGGTAAACCGCGTCCCCCAGGCTCCGCGCTCCGAGCCCCAGGCACGGCGGGAGCCCCCCGACCCCTCCAACCGCTACCCCGGGGCCCAGGGCACGGACACCCAGCGCCGCGTCAGAGCGGGGCGCACTCTGGCGCCCCAGCACCTGCAGGACAGACTTTCGGATCTTTCTCCTCCCTCTTTTTCCGGGAACGCCCGGTCTCCCACGCACCTCACCCCGCCGGCTTGCCCCGAGCTCGCCACGCACCGCAGCCCACAGACCCGGCGGCCCTCAGATATCCCGCAGCGCGCGCGCGCGCGTCTGCCCTGTGACGTCATCGCGCCGGGGACGCTCTGTGGGAGGAGCGCGCCGCTGGGAGGCGGGGCGCGCGCTGGGCCGCGTGGGCGGGGCCACAGGCCGGCCGCCGCCGAGTGGAGGGCCGGGGGCAGGCCGCGCCGGGAGGGTGGGCTCTCCGGCGCCGGGATTCCCGGTGAGCGGTCGGGGGGCGGGCCGTGTCCGTGAGCCGGCAGGTAGGAGGACTGGGGGGCCGGGCTCGTGAGGGCGGACGCGGGCGGCGGCGCGTGGGAGCACGGTGACGGGGCGCCCCAGCGAGGTCGCGCGGCGTGAGGGGCTCTCTCCGGTCCTCGGGGGCCGGAGTGTCCTCTGGCGTCGGCTGCCCAGCTCGGGGGGCGCCGCGCGGGGCTGCCCGCGTGCAGCCGGGCGTGGAGCCTCGGTCACGGCGGAGGGGGAGCCCGCGGAGATCCCGCCGGTGCCGACCCGGCCCGGGAGCGCGCGCGCTCTGAGGAGGTGCGGGCGCCTTGCGTTGAGTTGCACCTGCCGGGTGAAGTTCCTGCGGCTTTTTGCCCGTTCCCCGCGTGGGCTCTTGGGGTCCAGCTGCGATCCCCGAGTCTTCACGTGCCTTGCGTCCCGGCGCGCTCGTTCCTGGCGAGTGCCCTTGGCTCTCTCTGCCTTGCGCTCCGCGTGGGCGGTGTGCCGGGGATTCGGGGTGCTGGCCCGATGCCCGGGCCGGGGGACCCGTTTGTAACCTGCACTCCACCGCTCTGACGGAGCTGCTCGTCCTCCTCCCGCCCCCTCCCGTTAAAAACCTGCTTTTCCTTCCCGTGTCTCTCCAAGTCACCCAGTTTTAAAATCTGCATCCGCTGGATCAGCGAGCACTTTTGTGCACCTGATAGGTGCCAAACCGTGTTCTAGACGTTTGCGGTCTATTGGTGAAGGTACAGAGAGCCGCTAAAATGTTAAGGACAAAATGCCAGGTGGTGACGCGGTAGGGATTGCATGGAGAGTGTCAGAAATGGCCTTTAGGTAGGTTTCTGAATTAAAAAAAAAAAAAACTGATACCAGCAAAATACTAGCAATTTTAATAATAGTAAAATAATCCGTAACTTCCAAGACTAAACATTATCTGGAAGTTAGTGAAACTAAAGCATTAGTTCCTTTAGGGAGAAAATGATAATGCTTTATTGAAACACATGGAAGACTTGAGTGACGGAGAGATACATCATATTCATGATCAGAAGGCTCGATACCAAATAGAAATCGGCTTTCCCCAGGGCTGTAAATTCAGTGCAATGCCAGTTAAAATCACTGTATTGGGTTCTCATGAAACCCGACATGCCAGACTTCAAAATTTATATAAAAAGGCAAAGGACCAAGAATAGCTAAGTCAATCTTGAAGAAGAAAAAAGCTGAAGTTCTTTTTTGCGAGGTATCAAAGCATAAAATAAAACCGTAATCATTAAGACAGGGTGGTGCCGGCGCCGCGGCTCACTAGGCTAATCCTCCGTCTGCGGCACCGGCACACCGGGTTCTAGTCCTGGTCAGGGCGCCGGATTCTGTCCCGGTTGCCCCTCTTCCAGGCCAGCCCTCTGCTGTGGCCAGGGAGTGCAGTGGAGGATGGCCCAAGTGCTTGGGCCCTGCACCCCATGGGAGACCAGGAGAAGCACCTGGCTCCTGCCATTGGATCGGCGCGGTGCGCCGGCCGCAGCGCGCCAGCCACGGCGGGCATTGGAGGGTGAACCAATGGCAAAGGAAGACCTTTCTCTCTGTCTCTCTCTCTCATTGTCCACTCTGCCTGTCAAAAACAACAACAACAACAACAAAAAGACAGGGTGGTGTTGATTCCGGGACAGAGAAGGAGACTCCTGGGGCAGGAGAGAGAGCCTTGAAGCACACCCGTGTGCATCCGGGGGCTTCGGGTGCCCCCGAGCAGGGGGAGCGCCGGCTCTTCAGCAAAGGGTGCTGAGAGCTTGGTGTTCCCGTGGACGAGGCCAGGATCAGATTCCTGCTGCACCATTCACAGTAACTTCCTGGGTTAAAGACCTGAATGTGACACATCTGCAAGATACTTAGAAAAAATAGAGGTTGTCTCTAAGAAACATGTTGCTTTTGTTTTTTTTGTTAAATAAACGTAAGGTGACCCATTACAATCATTTTAGGTGTACAGTTTTAATATCTGTTAGTTCAGTGGCATTCACATTGTGCAACCCTCACTGCCGGTCACCCCCAGAGTTTTTTCATCCGATAGAGAAGGATTTCTTAAGCTACTAAAGCACTGTGGCGGATGCTGTTGCGTGACTCCAGATGAGACGTTTATGGTGGTTTGAACTGTGCCAGTGTGGTAGCAGTCCAGATGCAGAAAAGTGGGTGGATCTGAGATGTGTGTGATGGCAGGGAACAGGAATTGTGCGTGGCTTGGATATGGAGTGAAGAGAAAGAGAAACGGGTAACACCTACATTTGTTTTTTGCTTGAGCTACAAGTTCGATCATTTACTACTTGCAATTCAAAACCTTTTACATATAGTAGTGATGGAGAAGGTAAGTGGAGGAAGACTTTGGGGAGAAAAAATAATTCTGTTTTGGACAGTTAAGACACAAGGGCCTTTGGACATGCGAGTGGAAATGTAGTTGTTGGACTGATTAGTCTGGAAAGAGAGTCTGGCTAGAGGGACTCTGGGATCACCGGCATGTGGATACTTAAAACTCGCGTGTGTGAGGTTCGGATTCCGGTATACTACACAGAAGACAATGATGGCTTCAGTTTTCAAAGATTGCATGGGCAGGTGGTCCATGGCTGGTGTGACAGCAGTTCCGTGGTCATCAGGGACAGGGTTCCTTTGTCGCGCCCTCCTGCCCTCCTTGGCATGCTGCCTCCTGCCTGGGATGGCTCTTTCACTTCCTGCTGTCACTTGCTTATTCTAGCCAAGTGGGAAATGTGGAGGAGGAAGAAAGGCACACCGTCCTTAAAGCTCCTTCCTAGAAGTTGCACGCAACACATCTGTTATGTTCTATTCATCAGCTCTAAGTCAAGGACCACACTTACCTGGAGGGAAAGATGCTGTAGTCTTCATTGAGGTATTTGTGTGCCTAGCTACAACTCAGCCTTTATCAGTAAATTAAAGGAGTGAAATGATGTCTAATTCCTTCTCCAGCGAGAGCGGTGATGCTATTCCTTTGAGGCTCCCAGTAACATCTCTGTTGTTAAATTTAATGGAGTTTTTAAAAATTTGTTTCATGTTTTACTCATAGTATCTCCCTTGTTAGTTTCCTAACTTTACCTTGTTAGTCTCCTATAATTTCTTTTTTTTTTTTTTTTTTTTTTTTTTTTTTTTTGACAGGCAAAGTGGACAGTGAGAAAAAAAGACAGAAAGAGAAAGGTCTTCCTTTGCCGTTGGTTCACCTCCAATGGCCGCCGCTGCAGCCGGCGCACCGCGCTGATCCGATGGCAGGAGCCAGGAGCCAGGTGCTTTTCCTGGTCTCCCATGGGGTGCAGGGCCCAAGCACCTGGGCCATCCTCCACTGCACTCCCTGGCCATAGCAGAGAGCTGGCCTGGAAGAGGGGCAACCGGGACAGAATCCGGCGCCCCAACCGGGACTAGAACCCGGTGTGCCGGCGCCGCAAGGTGGAGGATTAGCCTATTGAGCCACGGCGCCGGCTCCTATAATTTCTCTTTACCTAAAATCAGTGTTTCAGTTATAATATGACCAGCATCATAACCCCAAAAGCCCTTTTAAATTAAAACTAACAAGCTGACCCTGAAATTATAGGAAAGCCTGAAGCACCTAAACGAATCCATCTTGAAATGGAGGAAGGAATCTGGAAAATTTATACTGTCTGGTATCATAATTTACTATAAAACTGAGATAATCAAGACAGTGTGGTATTTACATGAGGATAGGCAGATTGTTAAATGGAATGGAATAGAGAATCCAATCCATATTTACATAGACAATTTCTGAACACGACACTGAGTCAGTTCAGTGGGGAACAGAAAGTTATTTCAACAAGTGATGCCGACTATTGGATACCCATATAGTAAAAAAACCTCCGCTTCTATCTTAGCCAATACCTAACAGTTAACTTGAGAAAATCATAAACCTAAATGTAAAAGCTAAAAATGTCTTTTAGACAAAATCATGAGCAAACATGTAATTTTGAGATAAGCAACCAGGACCAGGACCCAGGGTGCAGTAACCATAAAAGAAAAAAAACTGGTGAAAGAAACATCATCAAAATCACAGCTTCCGGGGCCGGCGTCGTGGCACACCAGGTCAAGCCACCCCTTGCCACACCGGCATTCCTTTTTGGAGCACCGGTTTGAATCCCTGCTGCTGAGCCTCTAATCTAGCTCCCTGCTAATGCTCCTGGGAAAATGGCTCAAGTACGCAGGCTCCTGCCGTGCACGTTGGAGATCCAGATGGACCTCTCGTCTTCTGACTTTGGCCTGGTGCAGCCCCCGCTGTTACAGCCATCTGGGGAGTGAGCCAGTGAGTGGAAGATCTCCTGCTCTTTGTCTCTCCCTTTCCTATCGCTCTGCCTTGCAAATAAATTTTAAAAAGGTAAGACTTCTGTTCCATTGATAGATACTTTTAAGAAAATGAACAGGCAAATCACACATGGAGAGAATCTTCCCAGTATGTTAGTGTGTGTATCTGATAAAGGATTTGTTTCTAGGTTGTAAAGAACTAGTAACTCATTAAAAAATACATTTTATAAATTGGGTAAAAGATGTAACAGATAATTCACACAAAAAATAGCTACGATGCATTTGAAAACACTCAGTGTAATTTTCAGGGAATTGCAAAAGAAAACCACATTGAGATAACATGTACCCAACAAGGCAACATGAGACAGGCCAGTAGCATCAAGTATTGGCAAGGACATGGAGCATCTGCACCTCTTCTATTCCATTATTCCTGTTTGTAAAATAGTGCAATTGTATTAGAAAAATATTTATCAGTGTCTTAGAAAGTTGAATGTGAGGTTGGCGCTCTGACATAGCGGATAAGCTGCCACCTGCAGCACCAGCATCCCATATGGGCACCGGGTCACTTTCTGGCTGCTCTACTTGCCCTTCAGCTCACTGATAATGGCCTGGGAAAGCAACAGAGGATGGCCCAAGGGCTTGGATCCCTGCACCTACCTGGGTGACCAGGAGAAGCTCCTGACTTCACCTGGCCCAGCTCTGGTCGTTGTAGCCATTTGGGGAGTGAACCAGTGGATGGAAGATCTCCCTGTCTCTCTCTATCCCTCTCTGTAACTTTGCCTTCCAAATAAAATCTTTAAAAAATATGTCGAATGTATATCTGTTCTGTGAGTTGGCAGTTCTACCCCTCAGTATATAATAAGAAATGAAAGCAAGATTTTATCAGAATGCTCATAGCTGCTTATGATAACCTATGATTGTTATATAGAAAAAGGGGCTTTGCAGATAGATTTGATGTTACAAACATTAAATAGGGAGATTATTTTGCAGTACCTGGAAGAGCCTAGTACAGTTACATGGGCCCTCAAAAGTGGGAAAAGAAAGCAAAGGAGTCAGAGATGTGGCAGCGTGAGAAACATAAGCGCTTGGCAGCTCTGAGGTTAAGGCGTTACCTGCAAAGACCAGAGGGAGGCCTCCAGGAGCTGGGGTGGCTCCCAGATAACCAGTGGGGAAATGAAGACTTCAGTCCTGCAGCCCAAAGAAACTGAGTTCTGCCAGTAACTTGAAGGGACAGAGCTCTGCCTACAACCTGAAGGAGCCTGTAAGTGGCTTCACCTCCAGAACTTTTAGTAAGGGGCCCCAGGACTCGGGCCATCTTCTGCTTTCCCAGGCCGTAGCAGAGAGCTGGAACAAATGCATGATTTCAGAAGTAATTGACTTAGTGGCGTATTATCAAGCAAATGCAGTATATGAAAATTAAGTCGTAATTCTAACACACCATGGTGTAAAACAAAACACTATTAAATATTTGATGATACTAAGGAGTTATATGTATCTGAAGGGCCCAGTGCTGGGTTTTGTTTTCCTTTTTTTTTTTTTCCAAAAAAGGTATTTATTAAAGTATCTATGTTTCTTTTGCTGCTGTCCCAGGTGTATTAGCAGGGAGCTGGATCAGAAGTGGAGCAGTTGGGACTTGAACTGGCACCCGTATGGGATGCCAGCACTGCAGGCTGCAGCTTTTACCCACTATGCCACAGCATATATATATATATATATTTAAATTTATTTGAAAAACAGAGTTTCACAGAGTGGTAGAGAGAGGAGCCAGGAGCTTCTTCTGGGTCTCCTATGTGGGTGCAGGGGTCCAAGTACTTGGGCCATCTTCTACTGCTTTCCCAGACATATTAGCAGGGAGCTGGATAGGAAGTGGAGCAGCTGGGACTCGAACCCGCGACCATATGGGATGCTGGCACTGCAGGGTGTGGCTTTTACCTGCTGCGCCACAGCACCGGCCCCGAACACTGGTATTTAAGGGCAGACCACAGACCCCACCATAATCTCAAAAAGGGCAGGGGGCTCTGCTGCCTGTCCCTGTGACAGGTGTCTGAGTGAGTAGTGGGGAGGAGCAAGCAGATGTGAGAACGACGCTGGAAGGCAGGTGACAGTAGGAGCTAGAGGGAGTGGTCCAGTGCTCAGACAGCAGGTGATGCTGAGAGGGAGTGGACCGCGGGTGCTGGGGGAGACCTGGGTCCTGCGGAGGGAGGTGGACAGGAGGGGGTAACAGCAGCCCCAGGGCTGAGGGAGAGTTATTTTTCTTTGTTTTTGATGGAAAAACATTGGACAACCAGCATTTTTGCCCAGAAAGAGGGCGTGTGTGGAGATTAAGAAAAGATCTTTAATGACTTGAAGTCCCCATGGGAGTGAAAAGGTGGAATCTGGAAGATCGACGGGGGCTTTCCCACGCAGGAAGGGATAATCCCTTTTCCCAAAGCTGAGAGCGGAGCAGGTGAAGATCCACGTAGAACTGGTGCGGGCGGCACAGGAAGAGGCACGTTTGTGGGCCAGCGCAGCCTTCCCCTGGGGTTAGAAGCCTGGGCCTGGCTGCCTCACTTGCCACGGCCCTTCCAGTGGAGAGAGTGCCACAGTTGCCGGTTCAGGGTCGTGAGGGAACTCCGGCTGTAGTCCGGAAGTGCTTCTGCAGACGCGCAGTAGCCAGCTTTTCGACCCGGGGAGGGAAAGGTTTGTTTCAGCCCACCGTTTGGAGGTTGCGGCTCAGCGTCCGGTGACCCCACGGCCTCCTGTCTGGTGGAAGCCCAGCATGGTGGTCCCAGAGGCAGAGAGAAGCCAGGCCTGACTTGAACCCCATTAATAAGCAATGCTCTCAGGAGCTCCGCCCTCTGAGGGCACACCCCAGTCGACCTAAAGACCTCCGTGAGCCCCACCTCCTAGCCACTGCAATTAGACCAGGCTCCACCCACAATCCATGAAGCATTAACATGAAGACATCAGAGTGTAGACAGCCGCATGTACCCTTAAGAGTAAGCGTTTCTGATAAATAATGAGATTGCAGAGAAAACTGCCTCATTTCTAAGATACCAGTAATCTAAAGTGGTTTCTCATTTCAAATAGTTTCCACGTTAATACCTAGCCTGGTATTTGCAATTTTGTGTTCTAGTTTGTTAATAATCTCTCTGCCCTGCTAAACTAAAGAATAACAATTCAAGTTCTTGTTTTGGCCTTGAGTATAGGTATGGGGGCAGGGCGAGGACGTCATAGTCTTCGTATCTGGAGTGCAGTGAGGCACAGGAAGATCTGAGAGGGCTGGAGGCAGGGCGGGAGGCCTGGAGGATGTGTGGATTGTTCAGAAGAGAGCGCGCTGACCAGGGACAGCAGAAAAGCTGGATTGTCGTGCCCACTGCCTCCCTGCCGCCGTTGTGTAGGTTGTGTAGGAGCAGAGAACACACATTTCAGGTGGGGGGTGCAGGATAAGGAGAGGGCTCCTGTTGAGCCAGCAGAGGGCGTCTGATGGGCTGCACTGGCGTCGAGGCTGGTGGGGAGCCAGCATAGCCGCCGAATGGCTGTGCACTCTGGGAAGAGCAGGGGAGCAAGGCTTGGGGTGACGGGAGAGCAGGTGGACTAGAAATAAGTTTCAGAGAGCTGAGCGCTGGAGAGTTCAAAATGGAGCGTTTTATTCTAGAGAACGTTGCCAAGGCCAGCGCTGCTACGCGAGGGAGTAAGACGGGGTGGGGGGAAGGGTGCTCGGATTTCTACTCAGGACTTCGGGGAGGGAAGTCTAATGGGAGGAGATGAGTTTAAGTTAATCCAAAACAGGTTTGTTGGCCAAAGCAATTGTCCTGAAGAATACCTGTGTGTACAGCTGGCTCTTTGTAGTAGATGTGAAGGCTGAAGAAGCAGCAGGTACTTTTGCTCTGCATTTTTAGCGCCGTTTTCATGAACTAAAACACAAATCTGTACATTAGCTCTGCTCTGGTTCTCAGAGCGCCTGCCTCGTTTGGTAAGGTATGCACATCACTTTTTAAAAAAGATTGATTCATTCAAAAGGCAGTTAGAAGGAGAGACAGAGAAATCTTCTATTCACTGGTTCACTCCTCAGATGGCTACAATAGCCAGGTCTGGGCCAGGCAAAAGCCAGAAATTCCATGTGGGTCTCCTGCTTGGGTGGCAAGGGCTCAAGGGCTTGGGCCATCTTCCACTGCTTTGCATTCACAGGGAGCTGGATCAGAGGTGGAGCAGCTGGGACATGAACCGGCCCTTTATAAAGGCTGCCAGCATCACAGGTGTCGGTTTAAGCTGCTGAGCCCATTTTTGCCATTATTCTCTATGTGTCTCATAGAGAAGTGGTAATAAATAACCCATGAAACAAATGAGAAAATAAGAAACAATGACCTTTAAAACAATGTTGCTTAAATTAGTTTGATTAGTCACCAATCTGTTAAGAGTCACAGATAAGAAACAGTTGAAACCTTTTTCTTTAGTGTTATCTCTACAAACATTTCTTTTTTTTTTTTAAACATGTCTTACTCCTGTATAGCAAGTAATTTCCCCCTGATCTCTAGGCTGCTGCAAGTTTTGTTTTTCTGGAAGTTTCTAATAAGTTGAACCGAGGCATCATGTCTCACCTGAGTCCCTCCGGCACCTTCTGTTCCTTTATAACAGCAACAACAGAGAAGTATCCAAAGTACTGACGGGTTCTAGAATGCTGAGTTGTTCTAGAAGTGACTGCATCATATTCAGATCAGCTTAACTCACTGGTGAATCATTGGCCAACAGTTCTCCTCCCTTGATAGGATGCCAACAGTTGACAATTAAATTTCAAAGACTGACGCACAATTGGGTAACACCTTGAAGGAGCCAGAGAAAAGCTGAGCACGTCTATGGATTCTAAGTATATCTCCACTTTGCAGCTGCGTTTCTGCAGGGCCTCTGTCATCAGACATAAATATGCATAGATATATTTAAAGATTTATTCATTTATTTGAAAGAGTTACAGAGAGAGAGATCTTCCCTCCCCAGATGGTTCACTCCCTAGATGGCTTTAATAGTGAGGGGGCTGGGCCAAGCCCAGCTGGGAGCCAGGAGCTGCTTCTGGGTCTCGCATAGGGGTGGCAGGGGCCCAGGCACTTGGGCCATCTTCTGCTACTTTTCCAAGGCCATTAGCAGGGAGCTGAATGGGAAGTGGAGCAGTTGGGGCACAAACAGACACCCACATAGGATCCAGTGTTGCAGGCAGTGGCTTTATCCGCTACGTCACTAAACCAGCTGCTGCTCATTTAATCTTCAAATGTCATTTTGCTCTGGTTAATTATTTGTATTTTCTTATTTCCTACTAATCACTTCACAGTATAGGCTGAAGAATAATCAAAGTACTAACACAGTATTATTCTAATAAGTCTCATTGCTGAGAGAGCACACACCATCCTCTGGTTCACTCCTCCAAATGCCTCAGTGTTGGAGGGACCAAAGCTGGGAACTGGGGACTCAATCCAGAACTCCCACGTGGGTGGCAGGAACCCTACTACTTGAGCCATTGCTTTTGGCTCCCAGCGTCTGCGTTAGCAGGAGCTGGAATTGGGAGCCAGAGCTGGGAATCGAACCCAGGTACTCCAGTGTGACTGGTGCCTGAACTGCTGGACCAAGTGCCCACCCTGTTTTCATTTTTTAAGGAAGAAATATTTTTTAGTTGGAAAGATATTTCCTGATACTGAGAAATCGAACCCTGGGGACAATCTGCTCTGATGGCAACATGTTCTTAGAGTTGAAAGAAATGTTTTTAATGAGATGCTAAATCTGTACAATGGTTCTACCTACACAGAATGTCCCTGGCCGCCTACTGTGTCATCTGTTGCCGAAGAATAGGCACGTCTGCTGCCTCTCCGCAGAGTCTCACGCGCTGGAGAGAGATCCGTGAGTGCACTTGGAGCAGAGACGTTTCTTGTAGAAACAGTGATGGGATGATGGCGGTTCCAGAGGGAGCCACAGAACTCTCTTCACCCGTGAGAAGTCTCCTGCTTGTCTATCTTCCTTGACTGATGGTCTGCCCTGAACTTGTAGACCCAGACCCTTACACACTATTTTCTTGGAAATTCTTTTCCATCCCTTACTCTCCCTGTTAAATTCATGTTCCTCCTTCTACACTAAATATCACCGCATTCTCATCTGTAAAACAAGGGACCGGCATGTGTATGAGGTCCTAGGAATGCCGTGGTGAGCAAGGGGGAGGTTGTCCCTGGCCATTGAGGCTGGGAGCTGCTCTGGTGTCCTCTGCACACTGGCCTTGCCCCTCCCAGCCAGCTTTCCCTGACACCCTGGGCCTGGTTCTGTGCGTCCCTTGTCATTCCAGAGTCAGTGCAGAACTTGGCTAGCCGTCTGACTCCCCCCATAGACCATAAGCCTGGTAATGTTTACTGTTACATCCTATTGTTTGTTCTTTTTTTTTTTTTTAAAGGATTGATTTATTTATTTGAAAGAGTTACACAGAGAAGGAGAGGCAGAGAGAGAGAGAGAGAGAGAGAGAGAGAGAGAGAGAGGTCTTCCATCCGCTGGTTCACTCCCCAATTGGCCACTATGGCTGGATCTGTGCCCATCCAAAGCCAGGAGCTTCTTCCAGGTCTCCCATGCGAATGCAGGGGCCTAAGAACTTGGGCCATCTTCTGCTTTCCCAGGCCACATCAGAGAGCTGGATCGGAAGAGGAGCAGCTGGGACTAGAACCAGCGCCCATATGGGATGCCAGCACTGCAGATGGTGGCATTTCCCTGCTGCGCCACAGTGCCAGCCCCTCCCTTTTCATTTTTAAGACAGATCTGTTTTTTGGACAAGTCCTTGTCATGTACAAAATTCTGCTTCTGTGTTTTAAATACTAAAAGAGAAGTGGAGATGGAGAAGGGAGCTTTCCTCTTACTTGTAACAAAGCAAACTCAGGGGTGATGAATTTACCTTAGGGTAGGAGAAAAGGCCGTGAGGCTGTGTTCTGTTCCAGGGCCCACTGAAAGAGAGACAGCGAGTGACGGATGCAGAGAAGGAAGCCAACTGGGTGCTCTCTGGGCCTCAGGGTGGGGCGGGGCAGAAGTTCAGAAAGCCACCTCGGAGGAAGCGTGTCCCAGAGGAGTTGCACAGCTCAGAAGCTCTGCGTGTCACAGCCCCTGCAGACCTGGAACTGGCCTCTCCCCCACCTGGGAGCCACCACGAAGGTCCCAGGCCCTGACGGCCAGGGAGTGGGTCGGGGAGGGTTCCTCAGCCCCCAGTCAGGAGTGCAGCTGTCTGCTTGGCGGCCAGAGTTGAGGCTCTGAATCAAGGCCTACCTCTGTCTGTCCCACACGGTACAGGTGAAATAGGTTTTGGGGGCGGCCACAGGACCTGACCAGCGTGGGCAGCATATCAGTGGAGGCAGGGCCCAGCCCCTGCAGCAGAAGCTGGGCGACAGCAGCGTGAGTCAGAACCTAACGTGAAGTCGCAGGGAGACGGCTGAGGGAGGACGAGGCTGGGGGCCACTCTGAGGCTTTGTCCTCATTCGGGGAAGGCTCCCTCCCTGAAGATGTCCTCCTCTCTAGGGGTGGTTGACTGCACCCGCATTGCACAGCCAGCCATAGCTGCAGAGGCACCTGGGAATTTGAATACTTTTAAATATCATCAGGTTGTGTTAGTGTGGACTAAGGGGCATGTGGATTGCAGGCCATTAGCACTGTCTGCCAGTAGGACTTTTTTTTTTTTTTTAACGTAAAAAAAGTTTTCCAAGTTCCAAACAAAAATTTGTGAATAAACTTGTAACCTGTATTTTAAATGGGCCTACCTATGTATGGCACTGAGCCACCAATTATACTTTCTGTGGGTGTTGCCATTTTGTATACTCACTTAACAAATTCTGCAATATAGTGTCAGTAGTGATAGGGAGATTCCTCTCCCAACCTCCGTTCCTTTATCCCATTGATTGCTAACTACAAGGAGTAAGGGGGAAGTGAGCTTCCTGGATGTAGTTTTCCATGGAGGTGCTATAGTCCTGATGATACCAGAAACGGCCCAGGGTCTCTAGTGATCTGGTGGGGGATGGCACAGCAGAACAGGAGCTGGAGGAAGGAGAGGATGAGGGTGAAATGCCATAAATGCAGGTTATATTTCTGTGCCCAGTGCTTACTGATTGATTTGTTTGTGCCTGGGGATAGGAAAGCATGAACTGATAGCAATTGATTGTATTAATAGAGAAGCACAAGTCACTCCTTGTCCAGTGACATGTGAATTAATGAGAGGCTTACCCCGTGTCCCTTTCCTGTCTAAAAATGTAACTCGCCACACTGACTTTTTTCCTTTCTTTTTGAAGGAAATATTATAAAGTTTACTGGATCACTTATTTTAGGGTAAGTGTCAACCGTGGACTCGGCATTGGTTTCTGACTCCCACTGTGTGGCCTCTCCAAGGAAGTGGTCTGCAGGTAGTGGGGGTAGTCAGAGGGTGCAGCTTTCGTCATCAGACGGACGGACGTAATCTCTGCGTCTGCCACTCACTGATACCCCGCTCCAGTTGCTTTGCCTCCTTAGGAGTGAGTTCTGTTGGGTCTGCGCGTGCAGTGGAGACACTGCCCACCTGGCCCTGTCGCTGTGAGGAAGGCACCTGGAACACACCTCACCGGCATTCAGCGAGCCTCTCCACTCCTCCAGGCACGTCGTGTGTCCGGCTGTAGAGTGGCCAAGGAGGTCAGACGTGACTATAGTCAGAATTATTTTGGGGGTTTCTTCAATTACTATGAAGCTGTCCTTGAGGGACACTGAGGCTGACCGGGGAAAGTCACAGCCAGCATCTGCCGTCCCCGGTGCCGTCAGAGGCGCGTACTCCGTGCGGCAGCTGGCGTCTGCCGTCCCCGGTGCCGTCAGAGGCGCGTACTCCAAGCCACAGCTGGCGTCTGCCGTCCCCGGTGCCGTCAGAGGCGCGTACTCCATGCAGCAGCTGGCGTCTGCCGTCCCCGGCGCTGTTAGAGGCGTGCACTCCGAGCTTCCAGGGAGCCTCTTCTGCACGTGGTTTCTCACTCTCTTTTCCTTCTTGGGAAGAAATATATGTCCAATATGTCTGATATGATTATACTGAATTTGCTAGTGCTTTTTCCATGCATATAAATATACAATCAGTGTTTAGATGCTAAAGTGATGAAGATTATGTTTGACATTTTATGCAAATATATCCATTTCTCCATGACTTTGTAATGAAAGGCAAAGCAGATTATGTTTTTATGACCCATTCCAGGCAAGAGATAAATGTGTGCCTTTTTCTGTAATGCGATTTCTTTGTTTAGATCACAGTTACATTCAGGAATTTAGTAAAAATTGGTCACATAATTTTAGTAAAGACCTTCGTCTCCCGTGGAAAGCCCCGTACAAGTCCTGACCACATTCACTCTGGCTGCTCAGCGGACCTGCAGGCAGTAGAGGATTCTGTTCTGCCTGCTCTGGGTGCCTCGGGAGCCTGCCAGGCTCTGACCCCTCTTGCTTGCTTGCTTTAGGGTGGAAACCCCCGACCAGAGAAGGCATGGGATGACTGATTTTGCTGAGTTCTGAGTCCAGATGGAATGCAACATTTGTGTCTGGATGTAGGGAGCGTGTATGTCAGTCTGATTAGGAAAAAAATGTCATTTGACGGGATACAACAAACAATTTTGTATTTCACATTTAAAAATTGACTTTAGGTATAGATTTTTTTTTTTTTTTTTGACAGGCAGAGTGGACAGTGAGAGAGAGAGACAGAGAGAAAGGTCTTCCTTTTGCCATTGGTTCACCCTCCAATGGCCGCCGTGTGCCGGCATGCTGTGGCCGGCACACGGTGCTGATCCGATGGCAGGAGCCAGGTGCTTCTCCTGGTCTCCCATGGGGTGCAGGGCCCAAGTACTTGGGCCATCCTCCACTGCACTCCCTGGCCACAACAGAGAGCTGGCCTGGAAGAGGGGCAACCGGGACAGAATCTGGTGCCCTGACCGGGACTAGAACCTGGTGTGCTGGCGCCGCAAGGCGGAGGATTAGCCTATTGAGCTGCGGCACCGGCCTAGGTACAGATCTTAAGAAAGAAACTTTAATTTGCTGGTGATGGGAGTATGAATTGGCTAATCTTAAAAAAAAAAAAAAAAAGTTGGCATTATCTGGTAATTTTGAACAGTATGTAGAGAGTCAAAAATTATGTGATCTACCTCTGGATACGTGCCTTAGAGGAGCATACATGTGTCCACAGTATAAATGTGTGAGATGTGTTACAGCAAGCCAGAAATGTCCTAACCACCCATCTGCAATAGAGGGGGATAACTACGTCGTGGTCTGTCTCTACAATGGATAAAACACATGTGTGTGGAGTTACGGATGCAGGAACTGTGTTTATATGCAGCAGCCTGGATGAATCACCAAAAAGTCAGGCTGAGCGGAAGATAATGTTCAGTGTGGTTTCATGCAGACAGAATTCAGAGACAGGCAAAAGTGAACTCTGGTGCTGAAAGACCCGTATATAGGTGGTAACGTTGTAGAAAAAAGAACAAGAATATTAGCATAATAAAAATCAGAATAATCACCTATGGAGAAAAGAGAGTAGATGGGAAGTGGGGACGAACACTCAGTGGGCTTTGGCCTCCTGTTAATGTTCTTGTTCTTGCCTGGATCTGATTATGCAGCTATTTAATATTCACTGAGCTGAAGTGTGTGTGTGTGTGTGTGTGTGTGTGTATGCACATTACTGCATATACTCATGCTCCCAGCTAAAAGGAAAGATGTTCCCTGTAAGAAGCTCAATAATGAGGAGTAGCTCTTGGGTTGCATTTAGATCATGTGTTTTTGATGACTTTTTTGTTTCTTTTTAAGAGGTTCTTTGTTTCTTACATACGAAGTTCTGGCCTTGAAGAAGTCTTTGACGTTAGACACACAAGTGGTAGAGAGAGAAAAGATGAAGTCGTATATATATGTGCACGGAGTCTCTTTAGATAAAAGAGAAAACCATGGTAAGTTTATTGCAGAGTGATCCCATTTTTGTGGAATTGGAAGCTAGTTTGTGAATTTTAAAATGAGTCTATTTAAAACATAGTATTAATTAGATACATTCAGCTAACTCTAAGAATCATCAAGCCTTATAAGAAGCAAGTTCCTAAAGAATTATTGAAGACCAAGTGTTTCAGGCTTCCATATTTTACCCAGGTTGGTCCTTCTCCAGAATTAAATGAAGTGAAGACTAGCTGGCGGTTACGGCCTGACCTGAATCCCACCTTAGTGAGCCTGCCAGTTCAGAGCCTGCCTGTCACTTTGGCAGGTACAGAAACATCACAGTGAGCTGGGAGATGTTTCTGTTTAAATAGATTTATTTATGCAAACCAGTCTCATGAGGTGGATTCATAAATATGCATGCCAGCTTACCTACCACCTGTTACAAAGACTAGAAAACCTGTCTTTACTACTAGCTGGCCCGTTCTCCTTCTCGGTCACCGGAGGCCTCGTTAGTAATCACACGGATGCTTGGTGAGCAGAGGGGTCATTTTCAGATTTGGGCTGCTGGTGAGTCACCACTCTCGACTACAGCTGCCTGTTCCTACACTGTTGGCCAGAATGTGCCCGTTAGCACGGTGTGTTCCCCACGCGGGGCAGGCTGTGCCCTTCCCCTCTCTGGGAGCTGTGTCCGTCACCATCCTGTCGCTGTTTGATATTACATCACCCTCCTGTATTTCTGTAAGCTTCTATGCTGTGTCCCAGTTTCAGTTACATAGATGATCATTGGAGCCTGCGCTCTATGTGCTGAGGGCTAATTTCTTTAGGGAGGCGTCTCCAAATTTCAGTCCAAGATGGACTGTATATAAGGGACGTTTGCCTGGATGTTGCTAGTGCTGTGTTGTGGGGGAGAATTTTTTCCAGCTTTGGTTAGTGTTACTGTGTTATTTTTACTTTTTCCCTACTTGGAGAGCAATCTTATTTTGAAGAGCTCTGTGTTCCTTTAATGGCTTAGTTGCCTTGATAATGATAATAAAAAGCCAAAGATACTATTTTATATGTTTTCTGTGAACACTTTTCTCATTGAAGTATCAGAGCATAGCATTAACGGCACGCGCTGGGTTTTATGTAAGTTTGCGATCATTTCAGGGTTTGCCTATGAGGCAAGAAAAGAACTCCATAAAGCAGTGAGGAAAGTCCTGGCAGCGTCAGCCAAGATATTCCGGAGCCCATTTGCTGGTGAGTCTTAAATGTCAAACTTCGAGTGACTTGGAATCCTCTAGTCATCTGAAAGCCATTGAATGATCAACCCGAGATTTTTTTTTAAATCTCTTATGCTAATATTTTTGTAGCCGTGGAAAACTGAATCACACGATTCTTTTGGTAATATTTAATTTTAGGCTGTGTTTGATTTCAGGGTCTACTCCTTTGGATAGCTTTCATGGATGCGGTATTGTCAGAGTTAAATAAATACTGAGCGATTCAGTATACACTGTGCTCTCATGAGTGTTTCAGAATTTCAGATTTGTTAGGAAATCGCTCCTTTTCATAATGAGACTATTATGTCAAAAAATGCATATTTCACAATGAGGCAGGTCTGTGGACGAGCTGGCCTTATCTTTTTTTAAAAAGTTGGCATCGTGAAGAAAAAAAGGTAGAAAAGTGTCCTAGACTTAAAACAGACTAAAGACATTTTGTTAAAGCCCTATTTTAAGAACAGCTTTAAAGATATTTTTGGGGGAAATTTGAAAATGGAGTTAGACTCGATGATTTTAGATGATTTAATAGCGTTCTTAGGAGAGATAATAATATTATGGTTATGTGAGAGAATGTAGGCTCGTTCGTAGGAGCTGCCAAATTGGACTATGAAAGGGTAAAATGTCATTCCATCTGCAGCTTCCTCTAAGTAGTTTCGGGGAAAAAGATGCATGCAGACAGGTGCAGCAGATATGGCAAAGTTGTGGCACTCAGTCTAGGCATGTGGATGTTAATAAATACAAAGTTTTAGGACAACAAAAAGAAAAAAGTGACCATGTAATGGAAGGCACTGTAAGATTCATGATCCCTATAACCAAGTAACGTGACTGAACTGAGGGCAAGATGTGAGTCATCAACACTTGTGTCCAGGCAGAACCCTCCTATTATCAATTTCGAGTACTTGTAAATGACCATCTTAAAAGCGACAGTGAAGATGCTATCTTGACTGGTCACGTGGCCGTGGTGTTTGACTTTGCTGTGTTCTTTTTGCCAAGACCCTTTCAGCACGGTTGATGTGGAAGATCACGAGTGTGCCGTGTGGCTACTCCTGAGGAAGAGCCGGTCGGGCGACAGAACCGCGAGACTGGAGGCCGTGCAGGAGATGTCGGGGGCCCACCACTGGCAAGGTAACGGGAGCGGCTGGGGCCCGGCCTGCCAGCAGCTAGCTCTTGCTTTTCCTCTCTCTGTTGGAGACGTCTCTTTACTTGAAAGGCAGAGAGGCAGAGAGAGATCTTCTGTCCGCCAGTTCACTCCCCAAACGCCAGTAACAGCTGAGCCTGAGCCAGGCTGGAGCCAGGAGCCAGGAGCCAGGAACTCTATCCTCGTCTCCCACATGTGTGACAGGAACCCAGGTACCTGGGCCGTGATCTGCTGCCTCCCAGGCACATCAGCAGGATCAGAACAGAGTTGTCAGGTCTTGAACTAGCACTCTGATACAGGATGCAGGCCTCCCAAGCCACAGCTTAACCTGCCGTGGCACAGTGCCCTCCCCTAGCTCTTGATTTCTGACATGAAATAGAAAGGGATGAGATTCAGAAAAAAATAATTTGGACAATCATAATAGATGTGTATGAGGAATATTTTCTTTCTTTCTTTCTTTTTAAGATTATTTATTTGAAAGGCAGAATTACAGAGAGAGATTTTCCATCCACTGGTTCACTCCCCAGATGGCCACAATGGGTATGGCTGGGCCAGGCTGAAGCCAGGAGCCAGGAGCTTCTTGCAGGTCTCCCACGTGGGTGCAAGTGCTCAGGGACTTGGACCATCTTCCACTGCTTTCCCAGGCGCCTTAGCAGGCAGCTGGATCAGAAGTGGAGCAGCCGGGACTCGAGCCACGCCCATGTGGTATGCTGGCACTGCAGGCTGTGCCTTAACATGCTGCACCACAGTGCCAGTCCCAAGAAATATTTTCAAAAAATTTATGAAGCAGCTCCAGTGATGAAGGAAGTAGGAAACCTGTTGGCTTGGTAGCCAGATGTGTTTGGTAAGAAGAACCCCAAAATTATTATCTCTCCATCTCAGATCTATATAACTATTTTTCAACCAGAACCAAGTTTTATTTGATTAAATATGAAGGTACTTCAAAAAGTTCATGGAAAATGGAATTAAAAGATAAATTTATTTTGTTGCAACAGAAGTTTGAAATTCATTTTTATAATACTGATTTTCTGTGAGCTTTTGAAGACCCCCTGTATTTCCTTGAGAGAAACGTTATTTTTAACATTTGGTCTTAATTCTCTTAACTTTTTTTATTTTTAAGGATTTATTTATTTACTTGAAAGTGTGACAGAGGAGAAGTGGGGGGGAGAGAGAGGTCTTCCATCTGCTAGTTTACTCCCCAAATGGCTGCAACGGCCAGAGCTGGTCCAGGCAGAAGCCAGGAGTTTCTTCCAGGTCTCCCACATGGGTGCAAGGTCCCAAGGACTGGGGCCATCTTCTGCTGCTTTCCAAGGCACATTAGCAGGGAGCTGGATTGGAGGTGGAGCAGCCGGGACTTGAACTGGCACCTGTATGGAATGTCAGTGCTGCAGGCAGCAGCTTTACCCGCTATGCCACATTCCAGCCTCTGAAACTCTTGATTCTTGTAGTTGCTGCCCAATATTGTGTTTGCATTTTTCTTTGTAACAAAGTACATTTGTTTGCTGTGCCAGTCAGTTCTGTTTGCTCTCACTTGGACAGTGCACCCAGTTTTAATAGCAATAATTAGTCAAATGTGCCTGGTTTGCATGTATACACATCATTTTTTTTAAAGATTTGTTTAGTTATTTGAAAGAGTCACACAGAGAAAGAGAAGCAGAGAGAGAGAGAGAGAGAGAGATCGAGAGATCTTCTATCTGATGGTTCACTCCCCAATTGGCTGCAACGGCCAGAGCTGCCCTGATCCGAAGCCAGGAGCCAGGAGTTTCTTCTGGGTCTCCCACGTGGGTGCAGGAACCCAAGTACTTGCGCCATCCTCTGCTGCCATCCCAGGCCGTAGCAGAGAGCTGGATTAGAAGTGGAGCAGCTGGGTCTCGAACCGGCACCCATGTGTGATGCTGGCACTGCAGGTAGTGGTTTTATCCGGTATGCCACAGTGCTGGCCCCTTCACATCATTTTAAAGAGAATATTTAAAATATTGTATTTAAAAATCACAAGTGTTGAAGTACAAGTACTTGAATACTGGCTCAAATCTGCTCTGATTGTAGTATGCACGCTACAGAGTGATTTGTTAGCAGAATAATCTTGAAAAATGTATGAATGATAGAAATAATATATTCTCAAAGGCTTCAAAATCAGACCTCTGCCTCCATACACATAAACTCATTCATTGTTTGGTGGCTAAAGTAACAGTAATGTAGTGTTAGAATTAGTTCCCTTAAAGGTGGTAGAGATTTAAATTAAATTCTTTTTGGAAATATACCTTCCAGGGTTCCATTCCAGACTTATGCATTGGAAAACCAGGGGAGAAAGAGTCCTGGAATGCAGATTTTGAAAAAGTTCCCCTCTTGATCCTAAAGTACTCACCCAGGTTATGAGCTGTAACTCTTCAGAATATCTGTGTCAATGGTTGGAATTTTGTTTTTTTCTAAATTCATCTTTATTTCTTTATTTTCATTTTATTTAAAAGGCTGAGAGACAGAAAGAGAGAGGGAGACAGAGAGAGAGATCCTTCATCCACTGGTTTGCTCCTCAAATGCCTACAACAGCCAGGGCTGGGCCAGGCTGAAGCCAGGAGCCTGCAGCTCAAGTCAGGTCTCCCCCATGAGTGGCCGGGACTTGAGCTATCTGAGCCATCATCTGCTTCCTCCCAGGGTGGGCTTTAGCAGGAAACTGGAATCAAAGGAGCCAGGTCTTGATTCCAGGCAGTCCTATATGTGGTGCGGGTATCCCAAACAGTGCATTAACCACTGCACCAGGTACCCACTCCTGAAGTTTTGTTTTCAATATTTAAAGAATGGTATGCTTAAGTCAGAGTATACCATGTGGAGACCCAGGCTAGAATTTCATGGCCGTTATAGAATCCCAAAGCACCAGCCATCACCAGACAGTAGATTTAAATATAACCTATGGTGTTTTGAGTTGTGATCTAAACAGTTTCTGAATGTTGGGATTATAAAAAGGAAGAATTCCCCTAGGGGCCATCATTGTGGCACAGCGGGTTTAGCTGCCGCCTGTGATGCCAGCATCCCTTGTGAGCGTTCTTTCAAGTTCCTGCTGCTCCACTTCTTCTTCTTCTTTTTTTTTTTTTTTTAAGATTTTATTTATTTATTTGACAGGTAGAGTTACAGACAGTGAGAGGGAGAAACAGAGAGAAAGGTCTTCCCTCCGTTGGTTCACTCCCCAGAGGGCCACAGTGTGCCAATCCGAAGCCAAGAGCCAGCCACTTCTTCCTGGTCTCCCACGTTGGTGCAGGGGCCCAAGCACTTGGGCCATCTTCTACTGCTTTCCCAGGGCACAGCAGAGAGCTGGATTGGAAAAGGAGCAGCTGGGACTAGAACCGATGCCCATATGGGATGCCGGTGCCACAAGTGGAGGATTAACCTACTGCACCACAGTGCTGGCCCTCCACTTCTGATCCAGCTCCCTGCTAATGCACCTGGGAAAGCAGCAGATGATGGCCCAAGTGCTTAGGCATCTGCTACTCAAATGATAGACTTGGTGGAGTGTCAGGCTCCTGGCTTAGCCCAGCCTTGGGTATTTCTGCCATTTGGGGAGTGAACCCAGAACGGAAGTTCGATTGATTGATCTCTCTTTCTTTCTCCTCCCCCCATAACTCTGCCTTTCAAATAAATAATAAATAAGTCTTTTTTTTTTAAAGGGATAATTTGGGGCCAGCATTATAGGGCAAGAGATAAAGCCATGAGTGATGCCAGCATCAAATATGGGTGCAGGTTTGAGTCCTGGCTGCTCCACTTCTGATCCAACTCTTTGCCACTGTGCCTGTGAAAGAAGTGGAAGACAGCCAAAGTGCCTGGGCCCCTGCCACCCATGTGGGAGACCCAGATGGAGCTCCTGGCTCCTAGCTTCAGGCTGGCCCAGCCCCGGCCACCGCAACCATTTGGGGAGTGAACCAGTGGTAGACAGTCTCCTTCTCTCTGTCTGTAACTCTGCCTTTCCAATAAATAAACAAATCTTTTTGAAAATGAAGAATTCATTGTGGCTAACCAATTCTTAATTTGTGTTTCAATTTTTCCGAAAAGCTATACTGGGACCTGGTCCCTACGTAGATGTTGAGGCAGTTATGGCAGTGTTGGGTCTCTAGTTTTTAGGTGTTGCAAATTCAGCTGTCGTTTTGGAAAAATAGCTGGGAGACTTTTGGATTTCATAATTGTAGAGCAGTTTGAAAATGAGAATGTTTTCCAGTAGTTTGCTTTTTTAATCCTGCTACAAGTGTAAACTGATTTCGGTGTTAACAAAAATATGGTTTTGTCATAGATTACCAGTATAGGATCATTGCGCAGGCCTGTGATCCAAGAACTCTTATTGGTTTGGCACGAAGCAAAGAGAGTGATCTTCGCTTTTTTCTCCCACCACCTCCCTTACCATCTTTAAAAGAAGTAAGTAAATAAAATAATCTAGAGAGTGAAAAATAATATATCATCTTCACTTTGGGAATAAAATAAAATTTCAAGAAGTAGCGGTTGGCCAAGCAGGTACACTGAGGTGTAAACCTGAAGTCACAGTTTCCATGGGAAGACTGGGCTCCTTGGGGAGAGCCGTTAATTTTCTGAGCGTCACTGTACACCAGGGCGTGGATCGTCCTGCCGCAGGCTGCGTAAGGCCTGTAAAATCATCTGGCCTGGCCCTGCCAAGGCAACCGCACGTGGGACTTAAAATTCAGTGAATCTCTAGCAGGCTCATTTTTAAGTTGTTAATTCGTGTGGCCTGCACTATTGTAATAAATATCCAAGTGGCCCTTGGCAGAATAGAGGTTCCTCAACCCCAGTATGCCTTGGGTAGGTTCATGGTATGTGAACTTCCATAAGCTGGCCCCTGTTCTAGGTTTGCTGTGCATCAAGTTTTCTCTACCTGAACGCAGTTGACACTTTGGGTCAAATAGCACTTTGTTGTAAGAGGCAGTTCTGTGCCTTGTAGGATGTTGAGCAGCCAGCGGCACCCCCTTTAGTGACAGCCAAAGTATGTCTGCAGACACTGCTCGGTGTTTCCTGGGGGACCGTGGGGCCTGGCTGACACCCACTGCCGTGGATCTAAAGCGTGATTCTTCAACACTTTTCCTGGACTGGAGAGTGAACCCGAGTCTTCTGTTGGGTTGGTGCTTGTTCTTGTTTTCCACGGCAGTCGGCCAGCATTTTCTTCTTCGATGTTAGCAATGAACTCTGGAAAAAGGAATGTATAAGATACAAATTACTGGAAAAAATGAAATAATAATAACGATTTCTGGATTTAAAAAGCAATAGCTTTGGTTAGAAAGTGTAGTAATTCATTTTGAGTCGAAATGTCAGGAAGCCTACTTGAGGTGAAAACATTTTAAGTTACATTACGTCTTTCACATTGAAGTAGCAGACACGGAAGTAGAAAATTTTAATTGGAAGTACTGTTGTTTCAAGACTAAAAGCACTAACTGATGCGCATTTTTGCTTTGTTTCTGGGGGAATCTTGTGTGTACTGTTTGAGTTTTTTATGAAGACTTCTTTTCCCTTTGTTTCAGGATTCTTCCATTGAAGAAGAACTCAGGCAGTTGTTGGCTTCTCTTCCTCAGACGGATCTAGATGAGTGCATCCAGTATTTTACAGCCTTGGCTCTGAACGAGAGCAGTCAGAGTCTAGCAGCTCAGAAGGTTCGTTCATGGTCTCGTCACTCAGAGCTTCTGCCTGTGGTTGTGGGCCGTGCCCCGGGACAGGAGGTCACGGGGTGTGCAGCAGAGGTGCAGGCCACCGCAAGAGCCCTTAACTCTGCTCAGGAGGTCATCTGTGGCTTCCCAGGAGCTTCTCTTAAATTGTACCTTGAAGGATGAATGGATCATAATCCGCAGGGTTTTAAATACTGCTGATATGCAGTGATGCAGTCCCCAGCGTCACTAACTCCAGGACATTCGGCCATCTCCACAAGAAACCGTGCACTCATTAGCAGTCACTCCTCACTCCCCCGCCCCTTGGGCCCTAGGAACTCCTTATCTGTTCCCTGTCCCTATGGATTTTCCTGTTTTGGACATTTCTCGTAAATGGAATCATCCAATATGTGACTCTTACATCTGACTTGTTTCGCTTAATATGATGTTTTCAAGATTGATCCATATTGTAGCATGTATTAGTGTTTCATTCCTTTCTATGGCCAAATATGCATTTCCTAGTATAGCACAGTATCAATGTTTATGTAGAAGTTTTTGGGTAGACACTTGTTTTTAATTCTCAGGTATATACTTGGCAGTAGAGTTGCTACCTGATGGAATCTCCCTATCTAGTTTTTTTGTTTGTTTGTTTGACAGGTAGAGTTAGACAGTGAGAGAGAGACAGAGAGAAAGGTCTTCCTTTTGCCATAGGTTCACTCCCCCAAATGACTGCCATGGCCGGCGCGCTGTGCCGATCCGAAGCCAGGTGCTTCGGATCCTGGTCTCCCATGGGGTGCAGGGCCCAAGCACCTGGGTCATCCACTGCACTCCCAGTCCACAGCGGAGAGCTGGACTGGAAGAGGAGCAACCAGGACAAAATCCGGCACCCTGACCGGGACTAGAACCCGGGGTACCGGCGCCGCAGGCGGAAGATTAGCCAAGTGAGCTGTGGCGCCGGCGCTATCTAGTTTTTTAAGTAACTTCCCAGCATCTCCACAGAGGCTGCACTGTTTTACCGTCTGAGGGTTCCAGCGTTTCCACTCCCTCAGCAGCACTTGCCGCCATCATCATCAGAGTTGTCGCCACCCCGTGTGTGTGTGTGTGTGTGTGTGTGTGAGGCGGCGCCTCCATTCCAGTTGATTTGCACTTCCCTGATGATTGGTGATGTGGACATCTTCTCAAGAGCATAGTGGCCACTCGTGTGTCTTATCTGGACAGATGTCTATCCAGATCCTTTGTCTGTTTTTGAATTGGGTTTCTTGTCTTTTTGTTGTTGAGTTGAAAGAGCTTCGTGTGTATGCTGCATTGCAGATCCCTTATCAGCTACGTGATTGGCACATAGCTCCTGCCTTCTTTGGTTGTCTTTCAGTGCTCTTTGTGCCACAGACGTTGGAATTTTGATTAAAGTCCTCTTCACGTGTGCTTTCCTTTTGCTGGCTTGTGCTGCGTGTGTTCTATCTAAGAAACCACAGCCTGGTACTCTGAGTAATTTCTTATCTGAATCTGGGCGCTTCCCTTCCCTTCTCTGCTCTCAGGGCACACTGAAGCCACTTCCAGCAAGGCTCACGTCACAGTGTCAGCACGGCCAGGCCCAGGCTATTTATACACAAGCTCTTGTGGCCACAGCCATGTTCTGCCATGTCGTGTCCCACCGCAGCACTAATTTTTTTTAATAGAAAATTTTATTTAATAAATATAAATTTCAGAAGTATAGCTTTTGGATCATGGCAGTTGTTCCCCCCATAACCACCCTCCCACCTGCAAGCCATCCCATCTCCTACTCCCTCTCCTATCCCATTCTTCATCAAGATTCATTTTCAATTATCTTTATATACAGAAGATCAACTTAGTACATACTAAGTAAAGATTTCAACCATTTGCACCCACACAGACACACAGAGTATGAAGTACTGTTTGAAGATTGGTTTTACCATTAATTCTCATAGTACAACACATTAAGGACAGAGATCCTTCATGGGGAGGAAGTGCACAGTGACTCCTGTTGTTGATTTAACAATTGACACTCTTATTTATGACGTCAGTAATCACTCGAGGCTCTTGTCATGAGCTGCCAAGGCTATGGAAGCCTCTTGAGTTCACAAACTCTGACCTTATTTAGACAAGGCCATAATCAAAGTGGAAGTTCTCTCCTCCCTTCAGAGAAAGGTACCTCCTTCTTTGATGGCCCCTTCTTTCCACCAGGATCTCACTCACAGATCTTTCATGTAGGTTATTTTTTGCCACAGCGTCTTAGCTTTCCATGCCTGAGAAACTCTCTTGGGCTTTTTAGCCGGATCCGAATGCCTTAAAGGCTGATTCTGAGGCTGGAGCAGCACTGACGTCTGTACTACAATCCTCTGCCAGCACTCTGGGTGCTCAGCCTCACAGGGCTGTTCAGTTAATGTTCCTCTACCTTCTGTTGTGTTCTTTCACCCTCCACAGCGTTCCTGTACCTTTTGCTAAGTGAAGAGAGGGAAAGTGGTTCAGTGCCACTAGGCCACTTCTCTTTCCAGAAGTCGTGGTTCCTACCAGTAGTTCAAAGAGTTTCATGGTTTGGCCAGGGGTGTAGCACAGAGGGCTAAGCTGCTGCCTGTGCTGCTGGCATCCTGTAGGACCGCTGGTTTGAGTTGGGCTGCTCCACTTCTCCTCTAGCTCCCTACTAATATACTGGGAAAGCGATGAGAGAGGGCCAAGAGCTTGGGCCTCTGACACCCATGTGTGATTCCTGGATTTAGGTCCTGGGTTTGGCCTGGCCCAGCCCTCGCTGTTGCAGTCATTTGGGGAAGTGAACTAGTGAACTGAAGATCAATCTCTCTCTCTCTCTCTCTCTCTCTCTCTCTCTCAGTAACTCTGCCTTTCAAATAAATAAATAAATATTTTTTAAAAATTCATAGTTGAATTGACCTTGTGTCTATGTGTTCATAACTGACATACTATATGTATGTTGGTATTTTTTAAAAATATATACTTATTTGAAAGAGGGCAATCTTTCACCCACTGGTTCACTCTCCAAATGCCCACAACAGGTGGGGCTATGCCAGAAACTTCATCCAGGTCTCCCACATGGGTGGAAGGGATCCAGTTACTTGAGCCATTACCCATTACCTCCCAGGGTGTTCATTAGCAGGAAGGTGGGCTAGAAGTGGAGTAGCTGATACTTGAACCATGCTCTCTGATATGGAATGTGGATACCCAGTGGTGGCTTAACTCAGTTGTGCCACAGAACCTGTCTCTGTGTTTGTTTTAACATTTACCACTTTGGAGAAGGCAGGAGTCTACTGTACCTTCTCCAGCCCTTCACTTGTTGTGAAGATCTTTTTTTTTAACCAAGGTGGCATCAAGAAAGTAATTCATCTAACCTTTTATTGCTTTGTCTTGCTGCTGTTCCCATCAGTGTATTTAGGAATCATACATCACACAGAAATTATGAAAGTGGGGGCCGGTGTTATGGCACAATGGGTTAAGCTGCTACTTGTGATGCCAGCAACCCAGATGAGCACTGTTTCAGGTCCCAGCTGCTCTGCTTCTGCCAACGTGCCTAGGAAAGCAGCCGAAGGTGGCCCAACACATGTGGAAGAACTGGATGGAGTTGCTGGCTCCTGGCTTTGGCCTGATCCTGCCCCAGCAGTTGAAGCCATCTGGGGAGTGAACCAATAGATGGGATTATCTCTGTTCCTCCCTCCCTCCTTATGTAACTTTGCATTTCAAATAAATAAATAAATCTTTTAAAAAATGATGAAACTAATACTTAAAACATTTCCATTCTGTGCAGGCAGATCACATACACATCCCTTAGGTAGAGATTTCAAAAATAAATTGTTTTACGCACTTTCTTCTTAAACCAGTTGTGTTTTTCCTTATTCATTCGTGAGTTGGTACTCTTCTGTGAGGAAAAGCTTTCCCTCCTCTTCCCTCCTCCCCTTCCTCTTTCTTGCATTCTTGCTCTTGTGCATAGAGACGTGTGCTTTGTTTGTGTTCGCTGGGTTATGACGTACTGTCGTCATTCACGTTCATGCTCACATGTCCCGGATTCGGCTGGCGGGGCCGCCAGGTTGGCTCCGTCTCTGTTATTTTTTGAGCACTTCTGTGGCCCTCTAGGCTCATCCTAATCTTTTCCTGCTGCAGCTCTAGAATCAGCTGATTTTTCCAGAAGCTCTGATTCCTTGATACTGAGTTCTAGGCTAGGTAAGCCCATTGCTGCTGGCACTGCTTCCATTGTATAGCACTGGGAAGAGCGGCAGCTTCATAGGATTTAATAGAGTATGTAAATTTCATGTTTTAAGGACAGACCACTACAATTGCTGTTGCCCTACGTATGAGAACATGAAACTATGGACTAGTCAGTCCGTATATTGATCTCCAATAATTATTGTTTGGGAATACCAGAAAGTGGTGTAGGTTCTGTGTCACCAGGATGAGTGTGTGCAGCATCACTGGTTACCTAATGGTGTTTTCATGCTGTGGTGTGAGAACAGTGTCCACCTGCTGACAGTCCCAGCTTCTGCTGATGTGACTCTGTCTCCATCTGTAGTCATCATTGAATGCTGTGCAGATTTTCAGTTAGAAGTTAAGAGAGACGAAGATGTGTTTTCCCCATCCAGGCTCAACTCCCTGCCATTCTACCTCAGACCCTTATCAACAAATGTTCATTTATTTAATTTTTAATTGAGACATAGTAGTTGTATGTGTTTATGGGGTACATTTCAAACTCACGTGTACAATGTGGAATGATCGGGTCAGGGTCCTTGGCATATCTGTCGTCTCAGATATTTACCATTTCTTTGTGTGGAGAGCATTCAGAAAGCTCTCTGCTGGCTATTTTGAAATGTTCAATCATAGTTATCCTTCTGTGCTGTGAAGTACTCAGTTACCCCCCTCCCCCTGCATCCTGCACCCCTTCCCCCTCCTCTCAATGCCCCTCTCTCCCTTACACCCTTCCCAGGCCCTGGTAGGCACTGTGCTGCTCTCCTCTTCTGTATGATTAACTGTTGAGCACCACAAAAATGAGTGAGAACGAGCAGGGTTTGCCTTTCTATGCCTGGCTTCTTTCATTTAAGACAATGTCCTCTAGTTCCGTCCATGTTGCTGCCAGTGACAGAATTTCACTGTTTTTTATGGCTGAGTGTGTACGTAGAAAACGTTTTGTTTTTCTTTGTCCGTTAGTGCACAGCACAGTTGATTGCCTGTCCTCGCTGTTGTGAACAGCGCTGCAGTAAACCTGCCGCTGCAGGTGTGTCTTCCTGAGCTCTGGATGTGTGCCTGGCAGTGGCCTGCTGCAGCCTGTGCAGCCTGTGGCGGTTCTGTTTCTAGGTTTCTGAAGACCTCCACACGGCTTTCCACTGTGGCTCTACTAACTCACGTGCTCACACACAGTGCACTGGAGTTCCTCGTTCTCTGCAGTCTTGCCAGCAGTCGTTGTGTCTTTTTGATGATAGCCCTTCCGTCTGGGTTGATGTGACGTCTCATTGTTTTGACTTTTGCATGTCCTGGCCATCAGTGGTGTTGAGCGTTGCTTATATACTTGTTGGTCCTTCTTTAAGTTGGTAGCTTTTTCCAGCAATGTCTACTCAGGTCATTTGCCCACTATTAATTGAATTATTATTATTATTATTATTATTGCTGTTCAGTTTGAATTTCTCATATATTCCGAGTGTTATTTTTATTGCTATGCAAAACCTGTTTATTTTGATATAATCCCATTTTGGAATTTTTGCTTTTGTCACCTGTACTTTGGGGTTGTATACAAAAAAATCTTTGCCTACACCAATGTCCTACATTTCCCCCATGGAGAATGAACATCATTTTAGGCTCAGTTTGCATGAGTTGCAGAGCTCTGAGGTTGTACTTTTTTTTTTTTTTTTATAAGATTTATTTATTTGAAAGAGTTACAGAGAGAGGTAGAGACAGAGAGAGAGGTCTTCCATCCACTGGTTTACTCCCCAGTTGGCTGCAACAGCCGGAGCTGGGCCGATCTGAAGCCAGGAGCCAGGAGCTGCTTCTGGGTCTCCCACGTGGGGCAGGGGCCCAAGGACTTGGGCCATCTTCTACTGCTTTCCCAGGCCAGAGCAGAGAGCTGGATTGGAAGTGGAGCAGCCAGGTCTCGAACCAGCGCCCATGTGGGATGCTGGGCTTCAGGCCAGGGCGTTAACCCGCTGCGCCACAGCGCCGGCCCCTGAGTTTGTAATACTTATGAAGAAGCACCAGAGATTACCTCTTCCATGTGTTAAAGCCGAGGTATCCCCAGTGTGAAGCAGTGTCAGAACGCGTGGGCCTACTGCAGCCAATGGTGTCCTCCCTCCCATGGGAGCTGGGTCAGGGCCAGCCTAAACGCTCGGTGGTTTTCTTGTCACCTCCCCCCCTGCTAACCTTGGCACCTGCCCGTGTCTGCCTGGGGATCTGTGCTGCAGCTGTGGTGGGAGGTGAGGTAGCGGGTGGTGCTCTGGCTTCCATCACCTCAGGTGGTGCCACTGAAGGGATACTTCCTGGATCTGCAGTTCAGGTGAGCCCTGGACGCTTGCATTCAGTCACAGCCCCCGGGAGAGGCCCTCCGTGCCTGTGCCCTGGGTCCTGAGGAAGCAAGCAGGCTCCGAAGTTTCACTGCTTGGGATTTCGTGATTGCTTTCTGAAGCAGTGCAGTTGAGAGGACAGTGGTCAGGGTGTGCTGGAACAGGGTCTCCTCACTGGACTTCTAGCCTCGTAATTTAAGGACAGCCCTTAACTGATTCTGGAATTAGTGTCGTCCCCTATAATTTCCCAAGGCAGCTAGCTCTGAAATCAGCTTAGCTGTTCCGGCCTGAAGTCATTGTGTCAAGACCACTTGTGACTGAGAGCGAGGCCTGTTGGATGGCTTAAGGCTGGGAGTTGAAATGCTGCAGGTTATGGAGATCTGCAGAGAGGTGGATGCACAGAGTGGAGGCTGCACAGCTTGCTCTCAGAAGGAGGGGTGGGCTGCTTCTGTCCCCCAGGTCCTCAGCTGACTGCCAGCAGCTGTGCACATAAAGGAATCTTGTGGGAATGAATGTGTCATCACCATCTCGCAAACTGACCATGTGGTGCTGTGCCCCTGCCTCTGGCTGTGGGTCAGGCTCCCTAGCAAGTGAAGTAACAGAGACAGAGCCAACTTAGCTCATCCCCAGGGCTTCTTTCCTAGGAGAGTAGGTGAGTGTTTCAGATGTCACATCTAGCCAGCCTTGGCTTCAGCTTGCTAACACCTGTGATTGCCTGGCCTCGCCCACTCTCCTGTTCAGCCACGCTGGCCTTTCTGTCCACTCCTTGAACTTGCCAGGTGTGTATCTACACACATAGATAGGTTCCCTCTGCCACCAGCTGTCACATGGCCACATCATTTTCACCTTTCAGATCTCAGCTGTAAGCTGCCCAGCCGTCCTCCTCTTTATCTCAAGTGCTTGTTCTACTTATCACCCTTCATGGCACCCTCCCGTTCTGTAATTATTTTATATGTTCATTTAATTCTCCACTTCTTTTCTGGTGGGCAAGTACAGTACCTGGCGTCTTCCCAGTAGCAAGTACAGTACCTCATATATAATATGCTCTCAGTATTTATCAGATAATCAATGGATGAATCATAACACCACTGAACTAGCCGGGCTGTGCACAAGCATATGTGGGTTAAATACAGAACAACTGGAATATTCCTATTATGAAGGTATTTTTATATGACAAAGACAAAAAGAAGTGTCTCTAATGAATATATATATATTTTTGTTTTTGTTTTTGACAGGCAGAGTGGACAGTGAGAGAGAGAGAGACAGTCAGAAAGGTCTTGCTTTGCCGTTGGTTCACCCTCCAATGGCCGCCGTGACCGGCGCACCGTGCTGATCCGAAGGCAGGAGCCAGGTACTTCTCCTGGTCTCCCATGGGGTGCCGGCCCCAATATTTTTTAACATTACCATCCTAACATTTCTGATGCATTTCTTTAGTCTTAAGAATTTGTAAAAAATAAATAAATAAAAATAAAAAAAGAATTTGTGCTTATAGGCCAGCACCACGGCTCACTAGGCTAATCCTCCAGCTGCGGCGCTGGCACCCCGGGTTCTAGTCCCGGTCAGGGCGCCGGATTCTGTCTCAGTTGCCCCTCTTCCAGTCCAGCTCTCTGATGTGGCCCAGGAAGGCAGTAGAGGATGGCCCAAGTGCTTGGGCCCTGCACCCACATGGAAGACCAGGAGGAAGCACCTGGCTCCTGACTTCAGATTGGCGCATCGCTGGCCGTAGCAGCCATTTGGGGGGTGAACCAACGGAAGGAAGTCCTTTCTCTCTCTCTCTCTCTCTCTCACTGTCTAACTGCCTGAAAAAGAAAAAAGAATTTGTGCTTATAAAATTTGATGTGTGACATTGCTTAAATCTTTTATTTATTTATTTATTTATTTTATTTTTTGACAAGCAGAGTGGACAGTGAGAGAGAGAGACAGAGAGAAAGGTCTTCCTTTGCCGTTGGTTCACCCTCCAATGGCCGCCGCGGCCGGCGCACTGCGGCCGGCGCACCGCGCTGATCCGATGGCAGGAGCCAGGAGCCAGGTGCTTTTCCTGGTCTCCCATGGGGTGCAGGGCCCAAGCACCTGGGCCATCCTCCACTGCACTCCCTGGCCACAGCAGAGGGCTGGCCTGGAAGAGGGGCAACCGGGACAGAATCCGGCGCCCCAACCGGGACTAGAACCCGGTGTGCCGGCGCCGCTAGGCGGAGGACTAGCCTAGTGAGCCGAGGCGCCGGCCCGCTTAAATCTTTTTGAATTTGTTTCCTGTGTTTATGTCTTAATCAGTGACAGAGCAGCAGTAAGTGTGTCTCTTTCATGTTAGGTGTCAGAACGTAATCCGCCCGGCCACACCCCGAGTTTCTGCTTTCTGTCTTCTGGGGTAATTCCATGTGCTTTTATGCTATAGGCAGCCAGTTGTGTAAAGTTCCCTTTAAGTTTCAAAAGTATTTTGAAACAGTTTGGAGAGTTTTCTGTAAAAAAAAATTAGTCATTTTTCACTAAAATTTTTAATTTCAGGGTGGCTTATGGTGTTTTGGAGGAAATGGACTTCCTTATGCTGAAAGTTTTGGAGAAGTTCCTTCAGCTACAGTGGAAATGTTCTGTTTGGAAGCTATGGTAAAACATTCTGAGGTAACTTACCCAGTTTCAGAAAATTACTTTTTATGATTGCATTGAAACAACTACACAGGTTGGTTCATGAAAGGGACATAATCCCAACTTATTGTAAAAGGGTAAGAACCTTTCCATTTATTTTGAAATTTCTGCCTTTTTCCCATTGTAATTGTTAGAATTGATGATCATGATTCAGCACCAAGACATGAGTTTCATTTATGCTAAGTCTTTGAAAAAGCGGATTTAATCTTCATTTTTTAAATTTGTATCTCATAAATACAGCATTAGGAACACAGTAATTCTTCTATTATTGTTTCCTAACACTTAGTCCTATTTATAGTATCACTTTAACTCTTGATAGTATCTGTATGGTCACTTTACCACTTATTCCTATCCATTTGATCTTTATAACACTTTAAAACTGCTTTTTTTTATCAGCCAGCTTAAGGGATTTTGGGGTCTTATGGCTAGTTGTTAAGTTGTACCTTTAGAAGTAAGTTCTTATGAATGTATGTAGGACTACACTGCTTTGCAGTTGTGAGCTTCATAGTTTTCTCCATTACAACTTTAGGGTCTTGGTGATTCTTCCCACTGTGCCCACCCCACTTCCTCTTCCCTTTCCTATTCTTGTTCTTATTCTTTCCTACAGTCTATTTTCAGTTAGCTTTATACATATATGATTAACTCTATGTTAAACAGAGCATTCAGTGAATCATATGAAAGAGAAAAGATAAGGGAATATTATAAAGGAAAAGATAAACACAGAGTAGAAGCTGTTCCTCAACAGTCATGAGAAGGGCTGGTCACAGTCATTGCTTCTCAGAGTGTCCATCTCATCCTCACATGTTGTCTTTCAGGTGCCCTGTTAGTTATCACAGGTCAGGGAGAACATATAGAATTTGTCCCTTTGGGACTGGCTTATTTCACTAAGTGTGATGTTTTCCAGTTTCATCCATTTTGTTGCAAATGACCAGACCGGACTTTGTTGTGTTTTTTTGTTGTTTTGTTTTGTTTTACTGCTACGTAGTATTCCTTGGTGTACATATCCCATAATTCTTTATCCAGTCTTCAGTTGATGGGCATTTAGGTTGATTCCATGTCTTTGCTATTGTGAATTGAGCTGTGATAAACATGGAGGTACAGATAACTTTCATATGCTGATTTCATTTCCCTTGGGTGGATTCCCAGGAGTGGGGTGGCTGGATCACATGGTAGCTCTATATTCAGACCTCTGAGGTATCTCCACACTATCTTCTGTAGTGGTTTTACCGGTTTGCATTCCCACCAACAGTGGATTAGGGTACCTTTTTCCCCACATCCTCGCCAGCATTTGTTGTTTGTTGATTTCTGTATGAAAGCCGCTCTAATGGGGGTGAGGTGAAACCTCATTGTGGTTTTGATCTGCGTTTCTCTCAGAGCTAGAAATCCTGAGCATTTTGTCATGTGTCTCTTGGCCACTTGGATTTCCTCTTTTGAAAAATGTCTGGGGCTGGCATTGTGGTGCAATGGGTTAACACCCTGGCCTGAAGTGCTGGCATCCCATATGGGCACTGGTTTGAGACCCAGCTGCTCCACTTCCAACCCAGCTCTCTGCTGTGGCCTGGGAAAGCAGTAGAAGATGGCCCAGTGCTTGGGTCCCTGTACCCATGTGGGAGACCCGGAAGAAGCTCCTGGCTCCCAACTTCAGATGAGTGTAGTTCTGGCCGTTGTAGCCAATATGGGAGTGAACAATCGGATGGAAGATCTCTCTCTCTCTCTGTCTCTGCCTCTCCTCTCTCTGTGTAACTCTGACTTTCAAATAAATAAATAAATCTTTAAAAGGAAAAAGAAAAATGTTTAAGTCCTTTGCCCATTTCTTTCTTCTTTCTTTTCATTTTTTTATTATTTAAAAAAATTTTTTTAAAGATTTTTATTTATTTATTTGACAGACAGAGTTACAGACAGAGAGAGGGAGAAACAGAGAGAAAGGTCTTCCTTCTGTTGTTTCACTCCCCAAATGGCCGCCACGGCCAGAGCTGTGCCAGTCCAAAACCAGGAGATAGGTGCTTCTTCCTGGTCTCCCATGCGGGTGCAGGGATCCAAGCACTTGGGCCATCCTCCACTGTACTCCCGGGCCACAGCAGAGAGCTGGACTGCAAGAGGAGCAACCGGGACTAGAACCGGTGCCCGTATGGGATGCCGGCACCACAGGTGGAGGACTAACCTAGTGCACCACCGCGCTGGCCCCCTTTTGCCCATTTCTTAACCGGATTATTTGGTTTGTTGTTGTTGAGTTTCTTGATCTCTTTATATATTCTGGTTATTAAACCTCTGTCAGTTCCGTAGTTTGCAAATATTTCCTCCCATCCTGTCGGTTGTCTCTTCACTTTGCTAATTGTTTCTTTGGCACTGGAGAAGCTTTTATTTTGATGTCATCCCATTTGTCGATTTTGGCTTTGATTGCCTGTGTCTCTGGGGTCTTTTCGAAGAACTCTTTGTCTATGCTGATGTCTTGCAGGTTTTCTCCAATGTTCTCTAATAATTTGATGGTGTCAGGTTGTAGCTTTAGGTCTTCAGTCCATTGTGAGTGGATTTTAGTGAAGGGTGTCAGGTAGGGGTCTGGCTTCACGCTTCTGTGTGTGGACATCCAGTGTCCCCAGCACCACTTACTGAAGAGACTGTCCTTGCTCCAGGGGCTCAGTTTAGCTCCTTTGTCAAAGATCAGTTGGCTGTAGATGCTTGGGTTGATTTCGGGTGTTTCTGTTCTGTTCCTTTGGTCTATCCATCTGTTTTTGTACCAGTACCAAGCTGTTTTGATTATAACTGCCCTGTAGTATGTCTTGCAATCTGGTATTGTGATGCCACTAGCTCTGTTTTAGTTGTACAAGATTGCTTTAGCTATTCGGAGTCTATTGTGTTTCCATATGAATTTCAGCATCATTTTTTCTATTTCTGAGAAGAATGTATTTGGCATTTTGATTGGTATTGTGTTGAACCTGTAAATTGCTTTTGGTAGTATGGACATTTTGATGATACTGATTCTTCTAATCCATGAATGTGGAAGATTTTTCCATTTTTTGTGTGTTCTGTTTCTGGAATTAGTACAGATCTCATATGATATATGTCTAAAAAGCATACTTTTTGATGCACTTGGAATGCGGTAAAACTTTTAAAGCCATTTAAAAATTAAAATTGTGACATCACGTGACATGGCATCCTATCAGTAAAAGGTGAAGCTGTGCCCACTGATGTGTGGGAGACCAACTCCATCGACATGCTACCTTAATACACATGTTCCCTTGTTTTTGTTCTTGCTGTCCCTTGTACTTCTTTTCTCCACTGGAAATTTAAGTCCCTTTTCCCTTAATCCGTCATTTAAAGAATAAATGTTTGCCACTCCTGTGTTTTAGGCATGCCCCAAAGCCGTGGGGGTGGGGGAGGGCCGGGGGCGTGTGTTTCCGTCTGGGAGAGGCGCTGTGTGCAGAAGCACGACCTGCCTGTGTGCAGAGGCCCACGTCCTGTCGTCATGTGGCAGATTTCTCAAGGTCAGGCAGTGGTGATATAAGGTAGCTTCAAGCCGAAGCGTCACTACAGATAGAAAAAATTTTATAACAGAGACGCTGTCAGCCAAGAGCCAAGCAGGATAACGTAAGAACAATGATTTCAGAAGTCCTGGTGAGAAATGCATTCTGGGGGTGTTTCCCCAGGATGGTGGAGCGTCTAGATAGGGCCTTGCTTGGTTATCTGAGTCAGCTGAGAGCTCTGGCCTCTGCCCCCCTGTCCTCCAGCAGCAGCCCCCGGCCGTCCCCACCATGTTGTGCTGTCATCCCTCCTCGTGAATTTGTACAACGTAAGTGAGCTTTCACTGCTTCTTTGTGCTAGATCTCAACACATTGTGATAAAATCGAAGCAAACGGAGGCTTGCAGCTGCTGCAGAGGCTCTACCGGCTTCACAAGGACTGCCCCAAAGTGCAGAGGAACATTCTGCGAGTCGTCGGGAACATGGCTCTGAACGAGCACCTGCATGCCGCCATCGTCCGCTCAGGTAACTAACGGCTCTCCGCGCCGCGTGCTCCCCACCGCCCGCCCCCTCACGGCACACCGAAGACTCTGCTTAGGGTTGAGTTGGGTCCTTTCAGCCTATTAATCTGGTAGGAACAAGGAATTGTGATATGGCCACTTCGTTTTGCAGGGCCGTTCCGTACTCTGTGGTGTAGTCAGATGTTTCAGTCTCAGTTCCTTTAGGTACTCCATTTTTACTAGAGATTATTAGAGACCACGAACGAGGTGCTGGGAGTGCTGGTTGCTCCTGGGGTGTCTTTGGTTCTTGACTCCTCCAGTGGAAAGTGATAGGTAATGTATACACATAAGTGCACATGTGCATACAGTAGGTAGATGCAGTCATTTGTACATACCCATATCAGTCATATGTCCTTACATATGCACGCGTCAGAAACTGAATTTCCACTTAAGAGTATCTTCAGATCAGCAGAGGATTTTAATTTTGGTGAAGTCTCTTTCAGGGGTCAGCAAATATTTTCTGTAAAGAGCCTGGAAGAGGAGCAACCGGGACAGAATCCGGTGCCCCAACCGGGACTAGAACCCGGAGTGCCGGCACCGCAGGTGGAGGATTAGCCTAGTGAGCCGCGGCGCCGGCCTATAACTTCAAAAATTTAAAACTACTCTTTATATCTTCCCTTCTGCTTACTGTGAGGTTTATTGATTCCTCTTTTTATACATTTTTTTAATTTCTAGAATTTTATTTGAGGTTGGGGAGATAGCATGCACCCGTCTTCTGGCCTTCTTGTCGCATGCTCACGTGGCTGAGGGCGGACTGACCAGCTTGCAGGCCAGGCTGGCGCCATCGGCACAGAAGCCTCTTGTAAGAGCCTTGTGCCTGTAGAGGGGGAGGCACTCGTGGCCTAATCAGCTCTTAGAGCCCCTCCCTGCCCCTTCCCACTGCCACACTGGCAGTCCCTGAATTTTGGAAGGAACACATTCAAACCAGAGTAACAGTCAAATGACATGTAAGAAATCTAACAGAGATGCTTTCAGATATTTATATATTTAGAATCTCCAGTCCTTTTCCTTTTTCATATGTCTAAATTTATATCTGATCTAATTCCCCCCGGCCTAAAAACCATCCTCGGTATTTCTAGTATATTCTTTTATTTTTCATATTTTGCCTGTATAAACAGAATTCTTTGTTGACAGTGTTTTTTTCTGACAACACTTTTTTTTTAAATGTTATTTTTTTAGTCTACTTGAAAGCCCTAGAGAGAGAGAGAGAGAGGAAGAAAGAGTGAGCGTCCATCCACAGGTTCACTACCCAAATGCCTGCAACAGCTAAGACTGGACCAGGCCAGAGCCAGGAGCCTGAACTCTGTCTGGGTTTCCAGTGTGTGTGGAAGGGTCCCAGGCACTTGAACCATCATCTGCCTCCTGCCAGGATGCGTTAGCAGGAAGCTGGCTTGGAAGTGGGATAGCGAGTGGGGATTGGGAAGGTGGGATAGGGACTGCAGTGTGCATGTGGCCTCCCAAGCGTGCCCCAACCTGCCGTGCCCCAACCCGCTATGTCCAACCTGCTGTGCCTTAACCTGCTGTGTCCAACCTGCTGTGTCCAACCTGCTGTGTCCAACCTGCTGTGTCCATCCTGCTGTGTCCAACCTGCTGTGTCCAACCTGCCGTGCCCCAACCTGCCGTGCCCCAACCTGCTGTGCCCCAGCCTGCTGTGTCCAGCCTGCTGTGTCCCAACCTGCTGTGTCCAACCTGCTGTGTCCATCCTGCTGTGTCCAACCTGCTGTGTCCAACCTGCTGTGTCCATCCTGCTGTGCCCAACCTGCTGTGTCCAACCTGCTGTGTCCATCCTGCTGTGCCCAACCTGCTGTGTCCAACCTGCTGTGTCCATCCTGCTGTGTCCATCCTGCTGTGTCCATCCTGCTGTGTCCAACCTGCTGTGTCCAACCTGCTGTGTCCAACCTGCTGTGTCCATCCTGCTGTGTCCATCCTGCTGTGTCCAACCTGCTGTGTCCAACCTGCTGTGTCCATCCTGCTGTGCCCAACCTGCTGTGCCCAACCTGCTGTGTCCATCCTGCTGTGTCCATCCTGCTGTGTCCAACCTGCTGTGTCCAACCTGCTGTGTCCAACCTGCCGTGTCCAACCTGCCGTGTCCAACCTGCTGTGTCCAACCTACTGTGTCCCAGCCTGCTGTGTCCAACCTGCTGTGTCCAACCTGCCGTGTCCAACCTGCCGTGTCCCAACCTGCTGTGTCCCAACCTGCCGTGTCCAACCTGCCGTGCCCCAACCTGCTGTGCCCCAACCTGCCGTGCCCCAACCTGCTGTGTCCAACCTGCTGTGTCCAACCTGCTGTGTCCCAACCTGCTGTGCCCCGGCACCTGCCCTGTCAGCCTTTTAAGTCGTCCCACTCCCCCCGGTGTCCATTGTCTAGTAAGAAGTCCCTGCTTGTTCCCATTTGTGTTCTGTGTGTTTTCTTTCTTTTTTTCCTTTTTTTTTTGTAAATCTGGATTCTTTTTAAGATTTCTGTATTTGGTTTTCAGCACTGTGACCCTGGTGTCATTGTGAGATTTCTCCTGCTTGGGGCCCACCTGAGCTGATAGAATCTTGGGGGATCTGCCTGTTGATGTTTTTGATCAAATGTGGAAACTTTCCAGCCAGGGTAGCCTGTGTGTTTTCATCCTTTTGTTCTGCTTTCTCTCTTCTCTCCTTATGGAATCTCTGTTGTTTGTTAGACCTCTTGGTTCTGTTTTTCAGTTCACTGAGCCTGTTCACTCCATTTCTTTTTCTCTTTGCTTTACTTGGGTGATTTCTGTTCACCTGTCTTTAGGCTCATTGATGGAATGGAGACTAGAGGATTCAAAGCAGGACAGAAACGTGATCCTATCAAAAACAAACAAGCAGAAGCCCTCCCTTCCTCGAGTGGAACCTGGCCGTACCCCAAGTCCTCAGTCCTCCTGGTTGACTTGAACCTCTGCTGGACAGCCCAGTGAGCTCTGTGGCTCTCAGCTGCTGGCCTCATTTAGTTCTCAGTACGCCCCTCCCACTCCTACCTTGCCCCTTGTGCAGAATTAAGTCTCAGAGCAGTGGAACTGGCATGATCCTGATTTGGTAAAGAATGCAGATAGGGCTATATTGTGTATGAGTAAATTAGGTGTCTGTGGCTGTTTTTTCTAAAGATTTGGAAGGGTGTCCAGCAGACTGCGATTGTTGTTGCTCTGAGGTTATGAACACAGCCGGGAAGTGCGGCAGGTGCTGAAGCAGGCCTTCCACACTCCATGCTGCTTTTAGTTACTCCTTTTTAGCATTAACAAGTGTTCAGATGCTATGTGATGTAAAAACACTGACTATTTTTTAAGGATTTGATTTATTTATTTGAAAGAGTTACACAGAGAGAGGAGAGGCAGAGAGAGAGAGAGAGAGAGAGAGAGAGGTCGATCTTCTATCCACTGGTTCACTCCCCAATTGGCCGCAACAGCTGGGGCTGAGCTGATCTGAAGCCAGGAGCCAGGAGCTTCTTCCGGGTCTCCCTTGTGGGTGCAGGGGCCCAAGGACTTGCGGCATCTTCTACTGCTTTCCCAGGCCATAGCAGAGAGCTGGATCGGAAGAGGAGCAGCCAAGACTAGAACTGGCGCCCACATGGGATACTGGTGCCTCAGGGAGAGGATTAACCTACTGTGTCATAGCACCGGCCCCAGCAGTGAATATTTTGAAAAGGCAGATTTTTGAAGGGTTATTTGATATTTTGTAGTATCTGAGATATGCTGAAAATAGTTTGTCAGTTGAAAAATGCCAAAGAAATTATTCGGGCCATATTTTTTCTTATTTGTTTTCTTGTGATTCCATTAAAAACAAAGCCATATTTTTATACATACCACATAATATGTTTGTATATCTTTACTAGTAGAATTTTAAAATCTTTTATTATAAAATATTTAACAGATTTTGAAGAGGAATCTTCTGAATTGTGCATTTGAATGTTGTTAAAGAAATAGTGTGACACTCGTGGAGTATTAAGACACTGGTCTCCCGCCATCATCACACTTCTGTCTTTGAGGAGAAGGGCAGCAGCTGTCAGCTGTTGGGTGCCTCCTGGGCCTGTGGTTTTACACATTCATTTTAAAAAAAAAAAAAAGATTTATTTATTTATTTGAAAGGCAGAGTTACAGAGAGGTGCAGAGAGAGAGAGAGAGAGAGAGGTCTTCTATCCACTGGTTCACTCCCCAAATGGTGGCAGTGGCCAGATCTGAGCTGATCCGAAGCCAGAAGCAAAGCGTTTCTTCCAGGTATCCCATGCAGGTACAGGGGCCCAAGGACTTGGATCATCTTCTACTGCTTTCCCAGGCCACAGCAGAGAGCTGGATTGAAAATGGAGCAGTCGGGACTCAAACCTATGCCCATATGGGATGCCTCACTACAGGCGGTGGCTTAACCAGCACACCACAGCGCCAGCCCCTACACATTCATTTTTAAACCTTCCTTTAGCTCAGAGTTGCTAAAGAGTGACTGAAGTTCCCAGCAAGTAAGCAAGGAAGAGAGACTTGAGCCCAGGTTTCTCTGACCACAAGGTATTATGAAGTAGATTCTCACTATTAGTACTGCAGAAAACAGAGCGAGAAAGTTAAACCTACCCCTTGTCCACAGCCCTCTTCCTCCTAAGAGATAAGAACTGCTTTAATTTGGTGTATCTTTCAAGATTTTCATATGTTTCTGCAGGTGTATGTGTCATGTACATACTTCTATATGTGTTTGGGTACATAAAGTTTTTAAGAACAAAAATATTTTAAAGGAAGCCATGCTGTACATAATATTGTCCATACTTCTTCTATTTATCTCTCTTTAAAATACAGTTCTTCCTTCCTGACCTTCAGATTTTATAAGACTTTTACACATCAAACAATTTATTAGTAAGAAGTAATTTCAAAAAAAAAAAAAAAAAAGAAGTAATTTCCAAAGTGATCCCTGTTAAATATAAGGGTGGGAATAAGAGAGGGAGGAGATGTACAATTTGGGACATGCTCAATCGGACTTGCCCCAAATGGTGGAGTTAGACACGTGCCAGGGGATTCCAATACAATCCCATCAAGGTGGCATGTACCAATGCCATCTCACTAGTCCAAGTGATCAATTTCAGTTCACAGTTGATCACACTGATAGGTCTAAGAGTCAAAGGGATCACACAAACAAGACTAGTGTCTGCTAATACTAACTGATAGAATCAAAAAGGGAGAGAACGATCCATCATGGGAAATGGGATACACAGCAGACTCATAGAATGGCAGATGTCTTAAATAGCACTCTGGCCTCAGAATCAGCCCTTAAGGCATTCGGATATGGCTGAAGAGCCTATTAGAGTATTTTAGGCATGGAAAGCCAAGACACTCTGGAAAAAAAAAAAAAAAACAAAAAACAAAAACCCTAAATGCCTAAATGAAAGATCTCTGCGAGTGAGATCCCAGTGGAAAGAACGGGGCCATCAAAGAAGGAGGTACCTTTCTCTGAAGGGAGGAGAGAACTTCCACTTTGACCATGGCCTTGTCTAAATATGATCAGAGTCGGTGGGAGAGGGAGTGGGAGATGGGAGGGGTGCGAGTGGGAGGGAAATTATGAGGGGGGAAAGCCATTGTAATCCATAAACTGTACTTTGGAAATTTATATTTACTAAATAAAAAAAAGAAATAGAAAAAAAAAAAAGAAGTAATTTCCAGGGTCAGTGTTGTGGCATAGTGGGTTTAGCTGCCACCTGCAATGCTGGCATCCCATATGGGCACCAATTCGTGTCTCAGCTGCTCCACTTCCTGTCCAGCTGCCTGCTAATGCACCTGGGAAAAGCAGTAGAAGATGACCCAAGTGCTTGGGCCCCAGAACCCATGTGGGAGACCTTGTTGAAGCTCCTGGCTTCAGCCTTACCCAGCCCTGGCCATTGCAACCATTGGGAAATAAACCAGTGAATGGAAGATCTTTCTGTTTCTCTCCCTGCCGCCCCCCATCACCGTGTAAATCTACCTTTCAAATAAATAAATAAATAAATCTTGAAAAAAAGTAATTTGCTTGGAGCAGGTGTTTAGTGCCGCAGATACATGCTGCTTGGGATACCCACATCCCATGTCAGAGTGCCTGGGGCTGAGTCCAGGTTCCGGCTAACGCACACCTTGGGAGGCAGCAGGTGGTGGCTCAAGTGGCTGGGTCCCTGCCATCCACAAGGGAGACCTGGATTGTGTTCCAGGCTCCTGCCTTTGGCCTGGCACATCCTCTGCTATTGCAGGCATGTCAGGGAGTGAACCAGCTGATGGGAGCTCTATCTTTTCATCTTTCAAATAAAATAAAAGATTAATAAGTAGAAATTTTTAAAAAATAATTTCCTCATTTGTACAGGAGGCTAATATGATTGCTGATCAGATGGACTAACTATAACTAGTAATATCCACTGAATTCTGTAATTCTTACTCAACACAAAACATCATAGTATTTTCTTCTGTTTTGTGGCATCACATCTAGTAGCTGGAATTTGTATTAGATCTTCTAAGTAAAGAGAATGGCTCTTGTGGGGCCGGCGCTGTGGCACAGCAGGTTAATGTCTTGGCCTGGAGCGCCAGCATCCTCTATGGGCACCGGTTCTAGTCCCAGCTGCTCCTCTTCCAACCCAGTTCTCTGCTGTGGCCCTGCACCTGCGTGGGAGACCCGGAGGAAGCTCCTGGCTCCTGGCTTCAGATCGGCGCAGCTCTGGCTGTTGTGGCCAACTGGGGAGTGAACCATTGAATGGAGGACCTCTCTCTCTCTCTGCCTCTCCTCTCTCTTTGTAACTCTGACTTTCATATAAATAAATAAATCTTTAAAAAAAAAAAAAAAAGAAGAAGAAGGTTCTTGCAACCTCTTCCTTCCATGGAACCCTTGAAGGGGCCTGTGCCAGGGGCGCAGGATCTTGGGGCAGAGTAGAGTTGCAGTGCCCGGGCTTCTCCACCAGGGGCAGCCCCCGCGCGTGCCTGGTGCCTGGTGCCTGGTGCTGGCCTCTTCTGTTGGAACCTGCCTGGGCGGCGCGAGGCCATCCGCGTCAGCGTTTGAGGAGGTGTGTGTCTCTCACAGGCTGGGTCTCCTTAATGGCGGAAGCACTGAAGTCTCACCACATAATGGAGGCCTCTCACGCTGCCAGGACCCTGGCCAACCTGGACCGGGAAACCGTGCAGGAGAAGTACCAGGACGGCGTGTACGTGCTGCACCCCCAGTGTCGCACCAGGTGAGAAGCGGAGCAGAGCACCGCGTTGCCTTTGAGCGCGGGAACCAACAGGGCCTACTTGTGCATAATTTCAGTGAGTTACGTTCTTAGAACTAAGTCAGAAACCTCACTGACTGCAGCAGTTTGTCCAGTTAACTGCAGAAGGGCGGGAGGTGGTTGTGAAGTGGCGCTGGCTGAGTTAGCTGCGGTGTCACAGAAGGCCGCTCGGCGAGGTCACATTCACCGTGTAACCTGCCACTCCGGAGCTTTGCGCCGCATGCTGTCCTTGTTTCTGGGCATGTCTACTTGGATTGTAGGAGGCCTTCTGTCTGGGAAGGAGATGGGGACGTTGCTGTGTGCAGGCAGCCAGACGAGCCTGGGCCTGGAGCTCAGGCCAGGAGAACATCGATGGCAGCCTGGAGGGAAGAGTTGATAAACTGTCTCGTGGGCCTTCCTAAGGTTGTTCTGGTCACAGTTGCCAGTTATCATTGCGAGACTACAATGAAAACAATTGTATATGCTTTAGACTTTCATAAGATACATAAAAATATCTTCAGGAACTTTTTAAAAATTTGAATGGATTGTTTTTTTGCTTGTTTTTTTTTGTTTTTGTTTTTGTTTTGACAGAGTGGACAGTGAGAGAGAGAGACAGAGAGAAAGGTCTTCCTTTGCCGTTGGTTCACCCTCCAATGGCTGCTGCGGCCGGCGCACCGCGCTGATCTGAAGCCAGGAGCCAGGTACTTATCCTGGTCTCCCATGGGATGCAGGGCCCAAGCACCTGGGCCATCCTCCACTGCACTCCCTGGCCACAGCAGAGAGCTGGCCTGGAAGGGGGACAACTGGGACAGAATCCGGTGCCCCGACTGGGACTAGAACCCGGTGTGCCGGCGCCACAAGGCAGAGGATTAGCCTAGTGAGCCGTGGCGCCAGCCAAATGGATTGTTCTAACTTGTAAATATTAAAGTAATGTATTTCATACATGTATTGAATAATTGTGTATGTACTTTAGCTTACAAGTGTACTGTTATTTTTCATATGTCATATCCAAAGAATGTTTCTAAAATCTCATTAACACTATAGTTTCCTTGGTAAATTTTTGAAAATCTCTTTCATGTGGAGTGACTTGGAAGCTGTATTTGCATATTGCTGTGTAGTGTCTTCAGTACTTTTCTTGATGTGTGGCATCTTCTTAGGAAATTCTGTAGAGGGGAGCCTGGCCAGGGTGTCTGGCACTTGCCTGATCGTCACCCTCAGTTGTAGTTGGTCAGCCTGGCTTAGACGCTGCTCCGTTTTCCTAGGGAGAGCAGTGAGTGTGCTGGGTGCGTCTTTGCCAGGACTCCTTCCAGGGCTCATCAGCAAGCCCTTCGCGGGTGTAGAGCCTGCTCTGTGAGGTTTTAGTTTGCATCGCCTAAAGCTGCTAGAGCGCCAGCCACAGAGAATGCTGTATAGATGGTTGCCATAGCAGTAATGCGTCTATTCTGCTTCTTTTTAAAACTCTCTCCCCTGTCAGTCAGCCCATTAAAGCCGATGTCCTTTTTATTCATGGCCTTATGGGAGCAGCATTCAAAACCTGGCGGCAGCAGGACAGTGAGCGAGCCGTCTCGGAAGAGGCTTTGGAGGATGAGGACAGGTACACAACATGCTGGCCCAAGGTAAGGCGCGGCCCCCAGGGCCCCCGCACGACGCCCCGAGCAGTGTGGCTGCCGCAGCCTCCCTGGGGCTGGGATCTCTCCCCAGGCGGTTCTTCTTTCCCTTAGGGACGTCCGTAGTGTGTCCCCTAACCAGTCACGCTCGGCACCTGTGTAGTGTAAGAACATTGTGTTATGTAAAAACAGGAGCGAGGGATCGTGCACTTGCATTGTAATAGCTGATTCCAGGATATGATCATAAGCGAGAAAGACGTTGCAGAAGTGGTCCTCTCTGGCCTTTCTTTTCCCTGAGGTGCGGAGGGAATGCCTTTAGAGCTGGTCTAGAGCTCACTTGGGGTTGGTGCCGCGGCCGCGTGGGGCTGGGTCGCGGTGCAGCCTCCAGGCGGAAAGATTTGCAGTGCTGTGTACTTCCTGTGGCACTGGGGCGCAGGGTCCACACTGTGACCGTTAGTGTGTGCGAGTCCTCGGGGCAGATCTCACCTTCGGACTGTTCCGCCTGTCCTGAGATCGGAGTGCCTGCCGCAGGCTTCCCAAATTCAGTTGGGTCGAGGCCCCAGAACAGACCTCGCTTTGGCTATAGCAAAGTAAGATGGAGAATATTCTCTTGGCATCTTCGGTGGCCTCAGGGTGTATGTACTGACATCGCAGTGTGGCCGGACACATAGAAAGGTAAAATCACACATTGTTTTCGCTGTCACCTTTGTATTCCAAAGCCATCTTCACCCAGTTGTCAGCACTGCAGGAGGCCTTCAGCTGTAAGTTTTGATCGCTAGGAAGTCACTGGGGTGGCGGCTGTCCACGTGTGTCCTCACATACCTTTTCTTTGGTTTAGACGTGGTTAGCGAGAGATTGTCCCGCTCTGCGCATCATATCCGTGGAGTACGACACCAGCCTCAGTGACTGGAGGGCCAGGTGCCCCACGGAGAGGTAACCTGAGAAGGGGCACGGGCCCAGGCCACACACCAGTCCTCTTTTGATGCCACAGATGGGATTTTCTTACTAGCCTTTCTTCTCTTCCTTCTAGTGGGAATTAGCTCGAAATAAGCAGTGAGTGAGTAGAGGCCTAGAGACGGTATTGGGCTCAACCCAGTTCGTGTGCACTTGTAGTGAAGGACTGAATTCCACAGCCCCAGCTCCTGCCTCCTTTCTACCGGCAGTGAAAGCGGCGTTTTAGCATTTGTGTTCCCATCACTGACTCATGGAAGCAGAGAGCCCGATGCAGAGCAGTGGTGGCTTCTGCAGCCCTCGCAGGCCCCACGTGCTCGGTGTGTACAGAGAATAGGGCTTCAAGGGACCTGGGTTGTGCAGCCTTGGTCTGGCGAGTTCCCTCTGCAGGCCACCGAGGGAGCTGGCCTAGTCTGCACCCTCAGACTGTGCCCTGGCACAGAGCCCAGGCAGGTGGCCCTGAGGAGGGTCCCAGGCAAGGGTGAGAGTCCTGCTCTCCCTCCAGCTTGCAGGACGTTGGTTTTGAAGGAAGGTGTCCGCAGGTACACAGGTTGAACCTCCAGACTAGACAGTTTGGAAGTTCCCTGTGAGTCTGAAGGTGACTTACTTTGAGCTCCCTGATTCTAGTAGCTTCCTACTGTTCCTAAAAAATAAACTCACACGATGAAAGCTTGATGTTTGCAGCATAAGCAGGGCTAAAGCTAGCGAAAGAGGTAGCAGTCTTTCATGATACTTGCACTGTCAGGCCTTGGGATGAGAAAGGATGCGCACAACCCAGAACTGGGGCCGTCGGGCCGTAGGACCGCGGACACCCCTAGAGGCTCAAACAGTGCTTGTGAGTGGATGCCAGTGAGTGGCCCGATGCAGCCGTAGATGCCCCTCACTACCAGTGCTAAGGTACCAGCGGAGAGAGCAGCTTCAGAAATCGAGCAGAGGTGGGGTGTTCCTAACTCCAAAATGGAGGTCGTAGCAAATAAAAACGGGCACCACTGGGGGATCGTGCCTCCTGTCACGCCTGCTGCTCTTGTCTGTTCAGGAAGTCCATTGCGTTCAGAAGCACCGAACTTCTCAGGAAGCTCAGAGCTGCTGGTGTTGGAGATCGGCCAGTGATCTGGGTATCACACAGCATGGGAGGTAAGGGGGGCTCCTCTGGACAGCATCGTCGCAGGCGGCTTGTCTGCAATGCTGACCACCCTGAGCTTCCTGCATTCTCTCTATTTTACTTACTGGTGGCCCTCACCACCCTGAGCTAACGTTTTTGACTATGGCCAGGAGTTTGAAAATGACTACTCTCCTTCCGTGTGTTTGTTTTTCGAAGGGAATGACAGGTAACAAGCCATTCAGGAAGGGCATGGGTTTTCTTTTCTTTTCTTTTTTTTTAAGATATATTTTATTTGAAAGAGTTACAGAGAGAGGTAGAGACAGAGAGAAGGGTTTCTGTCTGCTGGTTCACTCCTCAGATGGCCACAATGGCTGGAGCTGCACTGATCCGAATCCAGGAGCCAGGAGCCTCCTCCTGGTCTCCCACATGGGTGCAGGGCCCAAGGACTTGGGATATCCTCTACTGCTATCCCAGGCCATAGCAGAGAGCTGGACTGGAAGACGAGCAGCTGGGACTAGAACTGGAGCCCATATGGGATGCTGGCACTTCAGGCCAGGGCTTTAACCCACTGAGCCACAGTACCAGCCCCAAGGCATGGGTTTTCAGTCACTGGCAATGAGTGGCTGTCAGCATGTCCCTCAGCCCGCTGCAAGCATCCTGCAGGGTTCGTGGCTGGCCCTGGGGTTCCCCTTTCTTCCTCCCCGGGCCTCTCCTTGCCCCATCTGCTGCTTCTCCCACCCCTCCATGCTCTCCCTACCCGCTTCTGTCTTGCAGACAGGCATCCTGTAACCTGTCCAGAGGATGAGCTCAGGAGCCAGAGCCAGGATTTCTGCCGAGAGGCAGGTGGCTGCACCCTTATGTGCTCAGGTCCACTGTCCTCATCCGTGGCACCTGTGCTTCACTCGCAATTGCAGACCCATCACAGGGGAGGGCAGAGGAGCGGCCTTCCCAGCTGCATTTCCCAGAAAGCTGTGTGTTCCGTGGTCGAGGGTGTTTCCCACAGAGGGGGTTTCGTGTCGGCGCTATCCTGAGGGCACTAGTGCTCTCCTTGGTGGGGCACCCAGCTGAGGATGCCTGGCTTTCATCAGTGGGACTGAGGGTCCTGTGCCCGGCAGGTGCCTGCAGAATCTTAGCAGTTTGTGGGACTGTGCTGCAGAGTCTGCAGGACCAGGAGGGTCAGGAGGCCCTGCCTCTGGTGCTGGAGAACGGCCGTTCAAACTTTTTCAAAGAAAGCCTCTCTTTCTGTATTTCTTGTTTTGCCTTTTTATTTTTCAAATTTATTTATTTGAAAGTTGGAGCTACACAGAGAAGGAGAGGCAGAGGTTGGGGGGGGGTCCTCCATCTGCTGGTTCACAAATGACTGCAATGGCTGGAGCTGCGCTGATCCGAAGCCAGGAGCCAGGATCTTCCTCCAGGTCCCTGATGCGGGTTCAGGGGCCCAAGGACCTGGGCCATCTTATACTGCTTTCCTAGGCCATAGCAGAAAGCTGGATCAGAAGTGGAGCAGCCAGGTCTCGAACCGGCATCCATATGGGATGCCGGCACTGCAGGCGGTGGCTTAACCTGCTATGCCACAGCACTGGCCTCTCTTTTGCCTTTTTGTTTGCTTTTTTAGAGCCACAGAGGGAAGGAGCTTAGCTAATGCATTGTTTCTTTCTTCTCTGTGGCCAGGTCTTCTTGTCAAAAAGATGCTGGTGGAAGCGTCCAAGAAGCCAGAAATGAGTACAGTCATAAACAACACGAGGGGCATGATTTTCTACAGTGTCCCCCACCACGGCTCACACTTGGCCGAGTACTCTGTGAACGTTCGCTACCTTCTCTTTCCCTCTCTGGAAGTCAAAGAACTCAGCAAGGGTAACGCTTTCTTTTTGTCTCGAAGGAAATTAAGGTTAACAATCATGTGAGAGGAGACTTTACTGGGGGGGGGGGGGGGGGACTTGTGATGAGTAAGTGTTTTCTCCCTGGAACACCTGTTAAACCGTGTTGAGCTCCCTGGCATGAGCCTTAATAGGCCATCGTCTTTTTGCCATGTGCTCCTTTGTTCTGCTTACTGGAGATGTTCTTGGCTTGTACGTAAAAGTTTTATTTATTTGAAAGGCAGAGTTACAGAAAGAGAGTTCTTCCAATGCTGGTTCACCCTCCAAATGGCCCCAGTGGCTGGGGTTGGGCCAGGCCGAAACCAGGAGCTTTGAACTCCATGCAGGTCTCCCACGTGGGTGAGGGGCCCAAGCACTGGAGCTGCACCGCATTGCGTTCCCAGGTGCGTTAACAGGGAGCTGGATCAGAAGTGGAGCAGCTGGAACTTGAACTGGCGTACATAATGCTGGCGTTGTGGGCAGCCTAACCTGCTATACCACAACACCAGCTCCTTGATTTTCTATTTTAAAATTTCCACTGAGTTTTAGTCAATTTTTATTATTTATTTTTAAACAGTGGTAACATTTATTAATATTTACAAAGACTGTTAGAATCAGTCACAGGGGCTCAGTTATAAAGGAGCAGGGCTTGATATTAAACAGTGCTGCAGGGATGCCCAGGCCCTCAGAACTCAAGGGACAACGTTTAAAAATGAACCCAAATTCACAGTCAGAAGACCTCAGTGCCCCGTGTTAACCCTCCGAGAGCATCAGCTCTTGAAATGACTCTAGTAAGAGTCAGACCTTTTGGACAGATCTAAGTGACCACGTTAGCATGGGAACGCATCGATAGGCTGCTGGAACTCCAAACAGTCCTTACGTTTATGACATCTTCCAGGAAAGTTCACCACAAGTGTGCCCGATGGTGTCAGCACGGCCCCACGGTTGCTTTTCTCAAGCAGACAATTTTTATTATTTATTTATTTATATTACCTAGAAACCTTTCATTTAAGGGACACAAACTTCATGCATTAAATATATGCAAATTCCTCCTCCCTCTCCTATTCCCATTCTTATTTTTTACAAAGATCTATTGTCAATTAACTTTATCCTCATAAGATTAACCCTATAAGTAAAGAGTGTGTGTGGGGGGGGAAATGACCTGTTCCTCAACAGTCGGGACAAGGGCTGTTCCAAATCACCGCATCTCACAGTGTCAATTTCAGTTCTCTAGATTACCTTTTAGGTGTTCTCTGAGTTACGACTGATCAGGGAGAACATACGTATCTGTCTTTTTGGGACTGGTTTATTTCACTAAGTGTAAAGGTTTCTAGTTGCATCTGTTTTGTTGTAAACAGCAGGTGTAGTATTCCATGGTGTACATATACCATAATTTCTGTATTTGGTCTTCAGTTGATAGACATCTGGGTTGATTCCATAGATTAGAGTGGGAATAAACATGGGGGTACAGGTAACTTTCATATGCTGATTCCATTTCCCTTGGGTAAATTCCTAGGAGTAGGATAGCTGGGTCATATGGCAGGTCTGTATTCAGATTCTGAGATTTCTCCATACTGTCTTCCACAGTGGCTACACTAGTTTACATTCCCACCAACAGTGGATTAGGGAACCTTTCTCCCCACATCCTCACCAGCATTTGTTGTTTGTTGATTTCTGTATGAAAGCCCTTCTAACTTGGGTGAGGTGAAACCTCATTGTGGTTTTGATTTGCATTTTCTTGATGGCTAGTGATCCTGAGCATTTTGTCATGTGTCTGTTGGCCATTTGAATTTCCTCTTTTCAAAAATGGCTATTCAAATCCTTTGCCCTGTTCATTCAGGAGCTTGTTGTTCAATTTCCACTGCTTTCTCAGGCACCTTAGGGAGCTGGATTGGAAATAGAGCACCTGGATTGAACTGGGTGCCCATATGGGATGCCAGCACTGCAGGCTTTACCCGCTACATTACAGTGCCAGCCCCTCTCCACTTTAAAAACTATCTTCCCCTAGCCCGGAGCAGTAAGCTCCCTCCCTATTCTGCCATCTTGGAATCTCCCTGTAAACTTAAATTTCATTAAATTGTTTTTGTCTATTTGAAAGTGAGAAATAGATGGTGAGAGACCTCCTATCTTCTGGTTCACTCACCAAATGCTGGTTTTTAAAATTTTTTTGACAGGCAGAGTTAGACAGTGAGAGAGAGAGAGGAAGGTCTTCCTTCCGCTGGTTCACCCCACAAATGGCCGCCACGGCCAGCGCGCTGCGCCGATCTGAAGCCAGGAGCTTCCTCCTGGTCTCTCATGGGGGTGCAGGGCCCAAGGACTTGGGCCATCCTCCACTGCACTCCCTGGCCACAGCAGAGAGCTGGACTGGAAGAGGGGCAACCGGGACAGAATCCGGCACCCCAACCGGGACTAGAACCCGGTGTGCCGGCACCGCAGGTGGAGGATTAGCCTACTGAGCCACGGTGCCGGCCATCACCAAATGCTTTTAAGAACCAGGGCTGGGTTAGGCAGAAGCGAGGGGCTGGAAACTTCGTCACAATTTGAGCCATCACCTGCCGCCTCCCGGCGTGTCCGTTAGCAGGAAACAAATCGGGGGTAGGGTTGCACTGGAATCCAGGCCTCCGTGTGGTACAGCCCTCCAAACCAGCGTCATAACTGTGGGGCCAAACACATGTCTGAGTTTTCTTTCTTGCCTTGTTCTTGGGTTGTTTCCTGCTCATGCTGTCCTCCTCTTGGGGTGGTGGCCCCATCGTATTTCTCATCACCCGGAGGCTACTAATTAGAGGCCTTTTTGTTTGTTTGTTTGAACTTCTGTTTCCTTGTTTAGCTCTGCTGCTTTTGTGGTTGGCCTCTCTGTGAGCTTATGCGGTCTTTCCAGTCGGAGCTTCCTCTAATTTCTGCTGGTTTGTGGTCACCCTTGAGGGTGAGGGAAGGGGGGACAGCACTGTGGTTATTCTGGGTGGGCTTGTTTGAGGGCTGCTGTGCTCAGGGTGGGGTGGGGTGGCAGCCATCATGCAGGGAGAGCCCCGCATCCCACACATTGAACTGCCCTCGCTCCCTCTCTGGCCATCCAGAAGCACCGTGAACCCCTCCTCCTGGCGACTGTCCCCCCGTTCTGAGCCGGGGTTATCCCTTTACTTGCATCTGCAGGGCTGCTTAGCAGGGGGAGAGAAGAAACGTGTACTCAAGCCACCACGTTGCTTTCCTCTCCAAACTGGAAAGATTGGTTTTAAATGATGAATTAGGTTAACAAAACTTGTCACAGTCTGTTCTCCATAACTTTACAGATTCACCTGCACTTAAAACACTACAGGACGACTTTCTGGAGTTTGCTAAAGACAAAAACTTCCAGGTGCTGAATTTCGTGGAAACCCTGCCGACGTACATCGGCAGCATGATCAAGCTGCACATCGTGCCCGTGGAGTCAGCAGGTACTCGCCTCGGTCATGGCCGTTAGCTGCTAGTTGGTGGTTCCCAGCTTGTCAGTAGCAACATCAGCTCCCATTTCTGATTTCTCAATTTTAGGAGATATTTGGATGGGAAACAATGAAGTAGAATCTTGTGCTACCCTGGGGCTGCGGGAAATGTCCGGGGCCTGCTGCTGTGGTGTGGGCCCCTTTCTGGTGGAGCCCGAATCTGAACTGACTCTCTGGCCTGTGTTTGCAGAGCAGATAACCTCACATTTCACTACCAGAATGCCCTCCCCACCTGGCCACCTCTGCTCCCCCTCCTCGGGTCGCCTCGGGGGCTGGCGGCACTCAGCCAGATGCTCCCTCCGTCTGCAGGCTGAGAAGCAGCATCCTGTAGCAGATCCTTGATCGGGGGAGGAGTCACTTGGCATTAAAGGCCATGAGGAGTGGAGAGAAGAGCAGCCACAAGTTTTGCAACAGGACTTTGGGGGACTTGAGACAAAGGCACGGTTCCTATCCCAGGCCAGCTGCCTAAGCGGCAGAGCCTTGTGTAGCCTGTCTGCCCCCTTCCTCCACGTCACCCGGTTACCACCTGCACGCCTCACCCCGGGGGCTTCCCTGGCCCCACCATCACTTCCCTCCGTGTGGACCTCTTAGACTGAAATGTAGAAACCCTTCTGAGGCTCTCAAGCCCTGGGTCAGTTTCCCCCGGAGGCCGTTTGGAGGCTTTAGGTACAGAGTGAATCCCACATGTGGGACATCCTCATTCTCATCAGGACGCGGGGTCTCTGTAGGACAGACGTCCTCAGTGGGACAGCGCAGGAGTAACCTGCAGGTGCCAGGAGGTTTGGAAGCCGCCACTACTCAGGCTCTGCTCGCTCTGCCCACTTCCCCGTTAGGAGTAGTTCTGCAGGCCAGAACACGGGTAAAGAACTGGTGACGACAGTCCTGCAGTTCTAACTCTGCTGAGAACCTGCTCTCATGATTAAGCTACAAACTGGGCGCCCCTTTGTTGAGCCCCAGATCCCAAGCAAATGAGCATGGGGAGCCACCCACCTGACCTCCTCCAGTAGTGCCTGGGGGCGCTTAGACTCACTGTCGTGTGTGTGTGTGTTTTCAGACTTAGGCATTGGAGACGTGATTCCCGTGGACGTTAACCACCTGAACATCTGTAAGCCGAAGAGAAAGGACGCTTTTTTGTACCAACGCACTTTACAGTTCATCCGTGAAACTTTAGCCAAAGACCTTGAAAACTGAGAGCTGCCCTCGGCCGTCTTTAATATGGGAATACAGTGCCAGAACCCTGGTGTTGTCTTTGTCTGTAAGCTCTCAGCAGGCACGCGGTCAGCGTGGCATCTGTGTGGTGTGGAGAGTGTGGCAGACAACGGGGCATCGGTCTCCGCAGCGCGGTCTAGCATCAGTGCCGAAGAGGCACTCGGAAGGCGGGCCCCGGTCGGGCTCTTGTGACTTAAAGTCTACCAGGTGCCCCTGCATGGTTGGCAGTGCTGGGCCCGGTGACTGGGAGCGCGAGTGCTGTGGGCAGAGGCCCTTTGCCACCTGTGACTGTCCCAGCTCATCTGGTGGGAACACTGGCGGGTTCTGGAGGGAGCAGCACTGGCGGCTGAACTTGAAGCACGCCACTGGAGAGCACCTGCACTGGAGACGGAACTAGAACGTAGAAGACGGCCATGTGCCGGGTTCCCGCATGCTGTAAGGTTTGAAACGTTTGTCCTTAGCTTTCAGGTAAACCCTTGCCTGAGACGTCCTGGTTGAGAGGCTGCTGTCACGCAGGGCCAGCTCCTGGTATGTTTGTGTTTTCACGATGCTGAGAGCAAGCCTGTGAAACGCCATTCTAGCTTACAGTGATTCTTCCCGGAGTGCGGCTCCTCTGCTTGTCCCGGGCAAGGACGGCGTAGCTCATCCACTGCTCACGGGGTGGAGGAAACCATCCCCAGCCCCGGGCTGCAGCAGCAGCACTCAGGATCAGGATCCTCTGCCTAAGGGCTGTCTTGCTTGCTTGCTTGGTTATGTGGAAATGGTATTAATTGACCTCCAGCGTGTGAAAACCAGGACATCATGTTGATGGACTTTTTCTTTGACTAGCATTGCTGAGATATAATGACATAGCATAAAACTTACCCTTATAAAAATGCAAAGATTTGTGGTATCTTCACAGAGCTGTGCAACTATTACCACTAAGTCCACAAAGTTTCATCACCCCCAGAAAGCCCTGTATCCGTGCACCGTCATTTCCCACCTCCTCTTTCCCCAGGCATTAGCAAACACTAACTTTCTCTGTGGAGTTGCCTCTTCTGGAAATTTGATATCAAAGGAATCAAATCATGTATTTCTTGCCTTGTCTGCTTGCCTTTCTCTTAGCATAATGTTTCATACACATATAGCTTCTGTCAGGACTTCACTTATTATGGCTAAAAATAGTTCATTGTATGGTTCACCACAGTTGTTTATCCATGTATCAGTTGAGGGACATCTAGATTCTTACTTTTTTGGCTGTTATAATAATACTGTACAATTATTCCTGTACAGGTTTTTTTGGTAAACAGATGTTTTTAACTCTCCCAGGTGGATACTAGGATTGGAGCTGCTGGACAATAGTAAGTCTGAGCTTATTAACCTTTCGCAGCTTGTATAGAAGGGATGGTCAGAGCCAAAACTGGGGTCCTCCCTGTGACTTAATGAGCGCCTGACCGACTCGTCTTGTTATGTAAATGCAGCCAATATGACTACACCTGGCATCAGTCCAGGGTCAGCTACTGGGATGACAACGGGAGGAGGGATAGCAGGGTTTGGTGCATTTTCTTATTCTGTTTTTGAATAACCGTTGCAGATAAGCCATAGTCAGAACAATTATTCCTTAACTTACAAGAATGGATTGAAACCTCCTTAATTAAAATCTCAGTATCTATTAGCTGTGCTTTAGCAGTAAGATCTGGGAGAGAGATCGAATCACTGTGCTTTCCAGGAAACCACTTTGCATTTCTTTTTATTCTGTGGATTGGAGAGGCCCCCCTCTGGTTGCCAGGCTGATGGGTCTAAATAAAGTTTATTACACACAAGTGAGGTGAAAAGAAATGGCAGGGCCCTTAAGCAGCAGGAAAGCAAAGCAAGTGTACAGTGAGGGATAATGGGAACATAATCCCTGAACAACTACAACAAAAGAGAGACGGAAAGGAACTGAAACCAAACTGGCACATTGCAGACACAGCACCTGAGGAACAGAGATGGGTGAAACCCCGTGAGTCGCAGGGTGGCTTGCTGGGTGCAGAACCGCAGTGCCTGACAGAGGGAGAGACGGTGGTTATCTGGAAGATACTGGGCCAGAGCTTGTCATTCAGCTGTAAAGACTTCTCAACATGCATTCAGGGAACAGGGCTAAGGTTTTCTCACAGATTGACTTGTTGGTTAAATCCAGGCACAGACAAAAAAATTCATTAGCCAGAATAGAAATAGTGCTACACTTTAAAATGCAAACAGAAACCCTAAACACTGTTAGGAAACAGTAATGTTGGAAAGAGCTAATTGTGCTCAGCCGAATTGCTCTTGAAATGGGCTCCAAGGAAATAAAGCAACATGCTGACGCCTGTGAGACCGTAATCTAGTAATCTGTCCTTGCTTTATCTTCTTAGCTTGATTTTAATTATGCTTAACAATTATAAGATGTAGTAGCAGTCATCTGTACTGTACATGTAAAGATTTCTAGGCTAAAACACTGATATCTGCGTGAATGCTTAACTTTCATTGAGCTATAGTCTTAATTTTTGTGCATATTTGTTACTTTGATATGCAATTTAATCTAAAAAAGACTCCACAGAATCAAAATCCAAATCTTAGCCAACTGTGTTCATTGATAAAATATTACAGCATGAGCTGGAGTGTATCTTAGGAGAACAAACTTAATCTTTAAGATTCCTTTTTCACTAATATTTTAACAGGGGGCTTTCTGTTCTCATTCATAGGTGAGATAATTTGCAATGAGGATAACTGAAAAATCTAAATGAAATTTTTTGAGTGTTCAAAGGGCTAATAAGAAAAGAATTAGTGACCCCAAAAATGTAGGAAAAGGCAATAAAACAAAACAGACCAGCAGTCAAAGGTGCTTTGGCTCGAGGCAGGGTTTCCACTAGCATATTTGGCAGCTCCTGCCTGCAGTTACCCTTCTCCAAAAAAAGTACCCCTGTGGGCAGTTTGTAAGAAGGCCTTTCTTCCGGCAGCACAGAGCAGGGCGTGTCCTGAGCCATCGCTGCCTCAGCTGGACGTTTTCCTGGAAGGTCTCATTCTTAGGTCATCTGCAGAGCCGGAAGAAACAGAAATGCAGCTGCCAACCTGGCAGATTCCCAAGGTGAAGGGGTCAGAAGTCAAAGTGCAGGGCCTGCCACGTAGTCTGATAACCCCATACATGAAGTTGAGGCTGCCAGGGTCTACACATGCAAAATGGAGGTGACCCAGAAGGAAGCATCCCTCTACAACGCTGGGGCGATGCCGGGAATCTCAGTCCACACTGAATTAACAGGACCCCAGGAAGATGCACTCTTCCCTGCCCTTACATTATTCCTGCAAATAGATTTCCTCTGCTCTCCGTGGACGGGGAGGCTCTGCACCCTGTGGCTGGGAATTCTGTGACTGCGCGACAGGGCATGGGGTGTAGCTTGGTCTCCGGGCAATCACTGTGCCTGGCATCAGAGTTCTCTGACTGCCTGAGATGCATCATTGCAGAAGGTTCCCTGCTCACACTGAGAACCACACAGATCCTCTGGTTCATACACCTACATGGGTGGGGTAGTGCCCACTGTGGGCTAATCCCAGGCATTGATCACCTTGGAAAAGAGGTGAGGTGATCACCCCAACAGGGATGACACCCTCCCCCCCGATGACAATACAGGAGATCTGCCATGCCCAACTTGGGTGTCATCCTGGAGTCTCACCCCACCGTTGAGCACTGACCAGAGCTCCCTGGTCCCACCCAGCACACAATTCTGGATATTCACCGAAAGAGCAGACACTCCATTGAACCACAGAGGCACAGCCCCAAAGACAAAACTCATCAGAGAAAACCAACAGGTGTTTCCACAAGTGCCTAAAAATACATACACAAATATGAGAAACAAGAGTAAGACAACGTGACTCCCAAAAAGGAATACAAAGCTTCAATATTAGAATGTGAAGATGAGGGGCTGGTGCTGTGGCTTAGAGGGTTGAGCCTGTGGTGCCAGCATCCCATATGGGTGCTGGTTTGAGTCCCAGGTGCTCTAATCTGGCTCTCTGCTAATGGCCTGGGGAAGCCATGGAACATTGCACAAGTACTTGGGCCCCTGAACCTGTGCAAGAGACCTGGCAGAAGCTCCTGGCCCCTGGCTTTGGATTGAGCTCAGCTCTGGCCATTGTGTCCATTTGGGGAGTGAACCAATGGATAGAAGACCTTTCTCTATGTCTCTCCCTCTCCTCTTTAACTGTGCCTCTCAAATAAATAAAATCTTAACAAGTGAAGATGGACTAAAGCCTGAAAAGGAATTCAAAAGAATGACCATAATATTACTCAGAAACACAGAGAAACAAATTCATGAGATAAGAAATCCATACACAATATGGATAAAAACTTTGCCAAGAAATTGAGATAGTGAAGAGAAATCAAGCTAGAATATTAGAAATGAAGAACTCACTATGTCAACTACAAAATACAATGGAAAGCCTCAACAACAAGCTTGGTGAGGCAGAAGAGAATATCTGAGCTAGAAGACAAATCCTTGGAAATAGGAAAAAAATTAGAAAAACTGAAAATAGTGTTCAAGATTTATGGGATACTATTATACAATCAAACATACGTGTTTTAGGAGTTCCTAAAAGCATGGAAAGAGATAAGGCCTATTCAGCAAAGTAACAGCAGAAAAATTCTCTAATTTGGAGAAAGAAAGGGACATCCAAGAACAGGAAGCACATTGAACTCCTCATAGACACAATTAGAAAGATCTTCATCATGACACATTATAGTCAAACTCTAAATAATAAAACATAAAGTGTAAAATGGGCATGAGAGAAATGCCAGATTACCTTCAGAGGACCCCAAATTAGGCTAATAGCTGATTTTTCATCAGAAACCCTACAGGCTATGAGAGAATGGAAAGATAGGGTGCAAGTCCTAAAAGAAAGAAACTCAACCCAGAATACTGTATGCAGCAAAGCTCTCATTTATAAATGAAGGTGAAATAAAGACCCACCAAACAAATTCAAAGAATTTATCACCATTTACCCAGCCTTACAAATGATTCTTTTTTTTTTTTAAGATTTATTTTATTTATTTGAAGAATTACAGAGAGAGGTAGAGACAGAGAGAGAGGGCTTCCCACCCACTGATTCACTCTCCAGATGGCCGCAACGGCTGGAGCTGCACCGATAAACAGCCAGGAGCCGGGAGCCTCCCCCAGGTCTCCCATGTGGGTGCAGGGGCCCAAGGACTTGGGCCACCTTCTAATGCTATCCCAGGTCATAGCAGAGAGCTGGATTGGAAGAGGAGCAGCTGGGACTAGAACCAGCGCCCATATGGGATGCCGGTGCTTCAGGCCAGGGCTTTAACCTGCTGCACCACAGCGCTGGCCTTTTTTTTTTTTTTTTAAACAACTTGAAGCCAAGTTTTACTGTTAATTCTCATAGTACAACTCATTAACGACAGAGGTCCAACATGGAGAGTAAGGGAACAGTGACTCCTGTTGTTGATTTAACAATTAACACTCTTATTTTTGATGTTAGTGACCACCCAAGGGCCTTGACATGAGCTGCCAAGGTTATGGAAGCCTTTTGAGTCCACAAACTACATCAGTAACGAATGATTCTTAAGGATGTGCTATACACAGAAACCAAGAATGATGGTCTTCATTATGAAAGAATGTGAAGGCAGAAAATCTTCTAGCAAAAGCACAAAGGAAATCCAAAGCAAACAACAGGGATACGTATGGGGAAATGGCAGGATCAAATCGTTACTTATCAGTAATAACCTTGAATGTAAATGGCCTAAATTTTCCACTTAAAAGATACACACTAGCTGAACGGATTAAAAAATAAGACCCTACAAGAAACTTCACCAACAAAGATACAGGCATACTGACAGTAAAAGGATGTAAAAAGACATTCAAAACGAGCAGGTGTGGCCCTCCTAATCTCAGACAAAACAGATTTTAACATAAAAGCTGTTAAAAGAGACAAAGGCATTATATATTGATTAAGGGATCAACGCAACAGGAAGATGTATCATAAATGTGTATGTACCCAAATGCCAGGGTACCTAAGACAAATGTTAATGAGTCTAAAGGGAGATACAGATTCAATACAATAGTAATGGGGGACTTCAATACCCCACTTTAATCAACGGAAAGATCAACTAGACAGAAAATCAACAGAGTTAAGCCATATTATGGACCAAAGGCACTTAACTATCTAGAGAGCATGGGGAGGAATATACACTCTTCATCAGTGCATGGAACTTTCTCTAGGCTATACTATATACCATATACTGTATACTATACACTATATACTATATACCATATACCATACACCATATACTATACATTGTATACCATATACTATATAGCATATACTATACACTATATACCATATACTATATAGCATATACTATATACTAGGATATACCATATACCATATACTATATACCATGCACTATATACCACATACTCTATACCATATACTACATACCACATATCATATACTATATACTATATACCATATACCATATACTATATACTATATACTAGGCTATAAAGCAAGTCTCAGTAAATTAAAAATAAATCATACCATGTATGGTTTCTGTCCACAATGAAGTGAAGCTGGAAATTAACAACTTAAGAATCCCTAGAAAATATGCAAACACAGAGACTGAACAACACACTCCTGAATGAACAGTGGGTCATAGAAGAAATCAAAAGAGAGATCAAATTTCTGGAGACAAAGATGATAATACAGCTTATTAAAACTTATGGGATATAGCAAAAGCAGTGTTTTGGAGGGAAGTTTATAGCAATTGTTGCCTACATCAAGAAACTAGAAAGGCACCAAATAAGTGAGCTATCAGTACATAAGGGAAAACCATTTAAAACAAGGAAACAATTTAGAAAGAACAGAAATTGGTGAATGAAGATTAGGGAAGAGAGTTTCAACAAAGCCATCACGAATTTTTTGAGAAGACTGTTAAAACAGAGAAACTTCGAATAAAAGCAATCAAGCAAAAAACATGCAAATTACGAGTACTATTTTTCACTATAATGTAGACAATAAAAGCTAAGAGGATATTTATGAATACTTTTAGGCCAGTATAAAATTTTAAATGAAATAGGACATTCTGTAAAGAATAACTTGCCCATAAGTAGGAGACAGCACTAGTCCTGTGAGATGAAGTTGGCCATTTACAAACCTCACAAACTAGCAACAGGCCCAGCTGACCACACTGGTGAGTGCCACCACAAGTTTAAACAGGAGACAGTTGCAATGTTACCACATTGTGCCAGTTAATCAGAAAGTGTACATTCCAACTTGTTCCATGAGGTTAACATAACTTTCATACCAAAACTGTAAATGACAATACAAAAAAGGGAA